GACTGCGGCTAGATCGGGTCTAGGTAATTGCTCGAGCACCGCCGATCCGTGCTCGCCGGTCCACCCCTTGAGCCCGAACCTTCCGATGCGTTGCATCTCGTACCCTCCGTTAACACACGCGCGCGACGTCCGTCGACGGTGCAGTCTCGGTACCAACACGATTGATTGGTTAACATGTCTGGTTCACCTCCAGTCTGGCCTTGATTATCTATCTCTCAACCCTGTCCGCAGCTTATCGAATCCTCCCCGAACCGTTTTCTCCTTCCGCTCCGTGTCCCCCTAGACCTCCCCTGTTACGCATCGTATCATTCAAATTGCGGTATTAAACTCCATCTCGGCGCCGCTCATCCTTGCTCCTCTTGTCGTGCTCCGGAATCCCACGGTTGGGGGTAAAAGTCGCGCGTTTTACGTGCGCCCACGTAATTGAACGATCCCCATAACCCGTCGTCCGGAGAAAGTATCTGCCTCCTTCACCTCTTTTCCTCATCTCATCCGGTCTACACAATCTACGTGAGATTCTTTTGTTTATAGATTTACTAAAATTTTCTGGCCAAAAATTATACGTATGTATATAAAATATATAATTATTATTATTGTTGTTGTTGTTGTTGTAGTCTTCTCTTGAATACCATTCTCTCGAGTTTGTGCAAAAGATACAGCTTACAATCCGAGTGTTCTAACTTGCTATAAATGAAAGTTTCGCTCGCTAATGGCGAATCAAAATAGAATTATTTTGTGTTATTTCTAACAATAGCAAACATTTTTATTTACTCGTTTAGTTTTGTAACAAAGCTTTCTCGAAATGGTTGTTTTTTCAACAGATATACATCGGATCACAAAGATATCAAGATGAGTTATTTTTTCCCAATACGATATGTGTGCGTGTACATGTGTTGTGATTATCGCAATTTTTTTTTTATTATTTTATACATGATATATAAAATAATAATAATTCATTAAACTCTCTTATGTGTGTCGCGCGTACGATATACTCGATTGTTTACCTACACATGTATCAAGATACAGTGAGTTCGATCAGTTTAATCTTTTCTTATCGGCTGTATTTTTCGTACAACCTCGGAAACGTCAATTGACGTTCTTTGGAGGGTGGGTTTATTTCCCAAGAGAGGAACGTGTGTGCTTTTTTTTCGCGGCCTGACTATCCCGCTATTACTCCGGCATAAGAGACGGCGACTTCTCTAGTGGTCAAAAATCTCGAGATCTCGCGAACTTTTACCGCAAACTTTGATGGGATTTCTATCGTTTCGCGACGCGAAAACATATTTCGCACAATCGTAAACTAAGTTTTTGCGCGTAACGCTATCTTGAAAAAGAAATTTTTGTACACAAACACACACTGTGACATCAAAAGTCGTTGTTGCGGCACTTCACGTATTTCGATAAAATATTTTAATTTAGCGCGATCGCAATGTGAAATGAGAAAACGAAGCATTTATCTTTTAATCGCCGTTTAAGATTTTAATTACAAATAAGTAGAATATTAAGAATTCTTTTTCCGGAAAGAATTGTGCAGAAAGAAGGAATTTAAATAAACTCTCAGCGAGATGTGGGCGGAGATATATATAAATCGACTTTGTCGGAGGCACTTGACGAATATTCCCGACGTGGCGTTCTCGATACACAATCTTGCCGCAAAGAAAAGCGTCGTCACCCGCAGGTGGAAACACCTCTCAAAGCCACTCCCTGAAGTGTGGCGGAAAATGATACGCCAAGTCGTGCCGATGTCTCGTGAAAGAGAGCGGAACGAGGTCTCGATTCTTCTCGCACCCCTTATCGCGCTTTGGGTGCCAAAGAGAGGAACAGCTTTGCACGCCCGGCTAACAGCGCGGTTGTATGCATGAACGACTATTGAAGCGCAAAAGAAAGAGAAAGAGAGAAGAAGAAGAAAGAAAGAGAGAGAGAGAGAGAGAAAGAAAGAGAAAGAGAGAGAAAGACATGTAATACTCACCACTTAGGCGGAGTTGCCTTGTGACCAGACAGTCGGAAGGGCGTCTGGTGTCTCAAGAGCTCCTCTCACTGAGTGAAACGCACCGCGCGTCCCTCGCATGATTTGCCAAAAAAAAAACAAAAAACTCACTCGAGCGCTTATGCATATGCATATCTACATGCGCCAACGGCGAGTACCTTCACGCATGCATCGCGATACGAAGAAAACCGATGCGCCCGCAAACCGAACTCAAACACACGCAACAGCGAAATTTCATATGCGAAAACAATCGTGTTTTTTGTCAATATTATTGTATTCCCGAATTTTTATATCTCGGTCCGTATCAAATTTAAAAAAACCCGATCAATAAATTCTAGCGCACGTGTGTGCAAAGTATTTTTTATTGCGCAAACGAATATATATATATATGTACTTGCGGCCGCGAGGCAGAGCGTATTTCACAGTGGTGTGTACTCGCTCGTAAAAAACGCTCGAAAACTAATTTGAAAAGTGTTTTCTTTTCAATGTCCTCGACTTTTACGCTTAAATACGTAATAAAGACACGTGTACGTACTTTCACTTTGGCGGGGAGTATCTCCTTCGCGTACCGTAAATCCACAACGATCGTTATGCATTGCCCATCGCCAAAGTACATCATCCTTACATGGGGACTGGCTGACTTCGATCCGACGACGTACGGTGAGACCTGCCTCGGAGACGACGCACGTCATTGGCGGAACCGGGGAGGGTTGCGTACTCGAGACGTCTCATTCCGAGGTTGAAAAGCGCCCCGGTGGATTACCTTTACAAAACACGGGCGGTATCTCGCGGGCCGCGCTGATCCCCATCGAGGGACGTGGATACAATTTTATGCCTCGATCTCTGAGAAAAAAAAATACCGAGACGCTTTGACGGAACCGGCGAATAAAGAAAAGGAGCGTTCTTTCGTTCGAACGATTCTAATTCCACACACACATACGCTTCCAATTCATAGATCAGAGATTAGTTTAACCCGAAGAATGTACGTCAAGTATAGATTCGCAAATATTGTCAGAAGATCGAAACGAATAAAATTGTTCTTTAAAATGTGGAAGACGGTAAAAGAGTTCGTCGAAATAGGATTTTTTTTTTTTTTTTTTTTAGACAAGACATTTCACGATCCTTCATGAGAGTTCGTAGCGGTGTCACGCGTTTTCACTCCCCGATATGAGAGAAAGAGAGACGAGAGAGGAGAGCGAGAGAGAGACCCGGGAGCTGGGAAATAGCGGCGGGAAAGTCTGGAATTTCGCAAAATTTAAGCCTGCCGACATCCATCACTGCGCGCGACAGTCCTCCCGTCGCTTCAACGTCAGCCTGTGTCGCTCTTTTTAGGTCTGCCAGAGCGCACGAGTCGGCACACGCATGCATACGTGAAGCCGCAATAGCTGTAACGCGACGTAAAATCCGCCGTTCGTCGCGCAGCCGGAAAATCGTTTCGCGAAATGACAAGCGACAATGTCGTTCGATCTTAAACGATCAGCACCGTGACACGCTATTGCTTTATCAAATTAATACCGTAGTTTTTTTTGCTCTTCCTAAAGTTCAAAGCTCGAATTGTTACATCATTGTTTCGAGCCGGCCCAGTAATCTCGCGGCCTGAGTGCGGAAGTTGCGATTAGGGAAGTCCCGAGTTCAAATCCACATCTTCGGATTTTTCCGGCCCGGTCTCTTTCAAGTCGAGTTTATCGATTGGAAAGCGGAACCTGAATCGGACCTCCAATCAGTTTGAAGTACTTATGAGCACTTCCGGATCATGGAAAGAGTTAAATTGTTATATTAGACCTGACGGAAAAAGTTTTTTTTTTTTTTTAAGTATAGTAATAAGCAAAACGTAACATTTTTATAACATTATTGTTTCGAATAAAATTCAATTTTTTCGTCCTGTTTGCTTTTTTCATTATTCAGCGGCTTGAACAACTGACAGAAATTACCTTCATAATTTTAATGAATCGAAAACCAACGGGATTCTATTGAGCTTCACGCCACACATAGCCTCGCGGGAAAAGATACTCACCATATAAAGCCTATTACGATTTTTTTTATAAATACAGCTAGTATAGTCGAGCAGACCGATTGCAACTGACAGTCAAATTACAAAAGCGCGTATTACATTTTACGCTGGCTTTCAACCTGATACGCGTTACATCCCGCGCGCCCGTCAGATTAAACCGACGTAAATAATGGAAAATTGCAACACTAGGAAAAAAAATGTATTTTGTCGCGCACACGCCAAAAGCATACATGTGCGAAAAAGCTCGTCTCACTAAAATAGAGTACTCGGTATTGTCTAAATGTAAATGTTTTTGCAATCTTTTTGAGTTTAACGCGCGCGCATTGCGAATTAGCTGTCGCAACTAACGTAACTAAAGTAAGGTCACGTAACAAAGAAAAGAGTAAAAACACCACATACTTTAGATCATTGACTTTTTTTTAAAAATCATTCAAGTCCTTTCGTTTAAGATCAGTGACCTTTTGTTAAAAGTCATTGCCCTTTCATTTATATATATATATATATATATATATATATATATATATACAATATATATACATAATATTCTTTTGTTTACTTTTTTCCCTGTCACGTGACCTTATTTCAGTCACATTTTTAAAGTCACGTAACTAAAATACAGTCGTGACTTACTCACGTGTTGTTTTTCCACTCCCCCCTCTTTCTATTTTTTAGTTTGATTTTCATGCGTTATTTCTGACATCTCTCATATGTACATCATGTGTATTATATGGTTTGTAAGACGTACATACTACTTGTCATCGCGGTGACAGGTTGTGTTTACTCGCACAACACGTTAAAATAAAAACAATAATAGCGTGCGCGTAGCGCGCGCCTGTGTTGTGCTAGTACTATAAAAAAAAAAAAAATCAAAAGTATAAAAAGGCTTAGAGAAACGTAAGAGCAATGATGTAGACGTAGAAATTACGCGCGCGCGCGCAACAAGCTCGTATCAACACACCACGCGCTGTTACTCCATTGTTTCTGAGTCGAGTAGCCAAACTTTTGACATCCAGGACCGCGCGCGACTAACCTCGTCAAAAATTCAAAATTCACCAGTGCGCGATTCGGTCAATTTGCATCACGATGTCCCACTCGGTCAGCGGACGAGATTTCACTCATCGCATCTACGTAAGAGAGAATGATATAATTTCACGGAGCTGCAACGATAAAACAACAGCGTTTAATGCAGGCCACGTGTGTGTGCGTACGTGTGTGTATGTGCAATAATTAATTCTTTCGCGTCCCGATTCATTGTCTGCAGATCATTACTCATCCCGCGTCAGGTTCTGTCTTACGGAGATTTCGCGGATAATTGTCCCTTTCATCCGGATCGTCTGATTATCGCGCGACGTGATTCGAGATATTGTTACGCACGTTAATACAATATCGTACTTTGTCGCATTGAGTCGTTCGATTGCCTATACAATGGCGAACGTTACGAGAGGTGAAAACAACAGATCTCACCTAAACAGTTCGCTACTTCCGAGCCGCGACGCGGCGCGCAACGCCCGGGATTTCATATCGCGAGACGATGAGAGCCAGTTGCTAGATAAAAATTATGGAGACGGTTCTCCGAATGAAATATGCGCGTTTAAATTGGATCAGGGAAAGATTGATGAGCTCGCGAACGATTACCGCGCTGAAACGCGGTGCGTTACCTTCAGTTGCGAGAGCGCGATACAGAACGTACCTTACGATGAAACGGTCAAGAATGATGGCGCCTCTCCGAGGAACGAGGATAAATCTCGATGTAAATCGACTCGTAAGAGAAAAATATGCGGCAAGATTCCCGACGGAGTTATCATTGATCTTTCCAACGATGCTTATGGCGTTTCTCGAAGCGGTGTTGGAATTAATGTCGTTTCTGTGCACAATTTAACATCCAAAAAGAAATCCGTCGCAATATCTAAGTACGAGCTTTTTCTTTAATCTTGAGTAATATTTGCATGAGAATTTTTTATAAATTTCAAAAACTCTTTTCCCGTGTAAATTCTTTCAGGCTGCAATCACGATTGTCAATGCGAAATCGAAGCTCGAGTAGAAAAATGATTGGCAGACCCGTGGTGGCCGTATTTTATACTGACAATTACGGGAAAATGAAGAAAAACACTCGTAGATTGGCGAAACGCAAGCGCAAGAACGATCAAAGAGAATTAATCCACCGATACGATTCGAATACGATTACTAGCGAAGCGAATCAATTAGAGAACACGTCAAACGAACGATTATCTACAAGAGATGATTTTCCGAACGAGCTTATCGATTCCACCGTGTGTTGCCATCACAACGACGCTTTCGTTGACTGCAATAATATGGAATACCCCGTGGGGGATGTGGAAGAGACGTGTGCGAGGGAGCAAATCGCGAACTTGTGCTGTTCGATTTTTCACAAGAAGCATTCGGAATATCGCATCTGTGATCAAGAGTATTACAGCACCGACGACGTTGCCGATTTGAATGCGGAGATGACGACTGATTGGACGGGCTTTCATCGCGCGCATGGATGTCGGTGTCTCTGCAAATATCATTGCGGTATAAATATGCAACGCGACTGTTACCCTTTTGCGTTCGCTGCGCGAGCGGAGGCAAGACCGTTCGAAAATTCCGCCCTGTCGAACGAGCATCAAAGGAAACAGGTCGAGCGATTCGAATCGGACGAGCTCCCGGCGAGCATCGCGCCCGAATACGCAACCGGAGAGTACGATGATGAATATTCGTTGTGTCGAATTGAACGTAACGATCGTTGCGTGAACTGCGGGACGGGGAGGAGGAGCTCAGCCCGCGCGACGCGGAAACCCGCGGCAAGGAAGACGAGCTTCGTCGCCGATTTTGCTCGCGATTCGAGTCCCGCTGCCACCGCGAATTCGGATGCGTCGCGATGCGAAATTGATACGCGTTCTGCGAAACGCGAGCGGCGCGCGAAAGAGGATGAGGTGGAGACGGCGAGAGAACGGCTGAATAAATCAGATTCGCTGAAAGCCGCTGACACGTGGGACGCACGGGACGCGAGCTCGAACGACTGCGTCGTAGTCCGCGTTGTCGCGGTGCCGTCGCGTTCCGACCAATCTCCCGGGGAAAAAGGCGAATTCCTACGTGAAGTAGTGGATTCAAAGTGGAAGCGGGGCTCTATTGAAACTGACGCCCAACAATTGGATTACAAATGGAAGAGAAGAATCGCGACCGTAGACGCTGGCGCGCGCGCGAGTGTGGATTTCAAAGGAAAACGTGATTCCAGGTGAGAGTGAGATTTGAATGAGATATGGTCGCGCGATAAAGGGACCGCGCGCTGCCGTTGCTTTTTTTTTTTTTTTTTTCACTCTTTTTGCCTTTCTCTTTTCCTCTCTCTCTCTTCCGTCGTTGTAACGTCGACTACGTCTAACAGATATAAATCGGAAGAGGCGATTCGTGTCCAATTGCGCGAAAGCGCGAAGATAAGGAAACGCGAGAGCCTGCAAATGGTCGAGGCAACGTTAGTATCCCCCGCCTGGTTTTGGCGCTGCAGCGCACATCCATCGCCTGATAAAGAGAACAGAATTCTCTCACATCCTTTTTATTTTTCTCTCATCCTTTGCTTTTCCGCGTCGCGCTTTGAAAGTTATTCCCGTATATCAAAACTCTATCTCGATTTATTTTTATTTTGCGGAGCACGTACGCTTTTATTATTTTCTCGCTCACGGAACACACTCGCCATTTCGGAGGATTTAATGAATCTGATTTACTCCGCGAGAGTGCGTGCGTTCCAACTAACGTGTGTATTACCGAAATGTTCTTAGTAATTTTTTGTTTTTTTTTCCGTTTTATGAAGTGTGTAGCAAATTTGAGAGGACGTATTTACTTATGTTTCCTCTGTATTTCCTGTTTTAATCAGTTTGAAACTTTTCCTCGCGAAACTCGAGATTAAAAGAAGTATATTAGATCTTTGCGCGCGCGACACTCTGTGTGTAATGCAAAACATGAGGGCTTTGCCTGCGTAGCGAAGTTCTGCGAATGTTGGCAGGTCACAAACAAGGAGCGACAATGCAAACGCCGACGGCAAACGTCGTGAGACGCGCGATTACTCTCTTTGGACGAGTTTACAGATGGGCAAAATTTGGTCGCAAGTGCAAGACGCGTGCAAGAACGTCGTAAAGCTTGCTGTGACGAGTGTCGGCCGTGCTGTGAAGGATGCATCTAAATCGGTACGCTCGCAGAGAAATCCCGTTGAAGTGGCTGACGCGACGCTCGTCGAAAGCGGCTCGTCCTCGCGCACCGGCGGCGAAATATGCGGAGAAACGTGTCGTAAAAATTTAATGCGCGCAAAGAGCAGAAGCAAATCGAAGAAGGAGCGCGCAATCGTGGACTCGATGGGAAAATATCGCGAGGACTTGGTCGAGGTATCGGCGTGGAAAAATTCGCCGCCGCGAGCGATCGCGCTATCCCGCCGCGATACGCACGCGCGTCGAAACGCCGAAAAAAGGGAGAACGAAAAGTCGTGTGTATTTTACAGCGGTACGATTAATAGTAATCAATCCTCTGCGCACACACACGTCTACCTGTTGCACTGACGGAGCCATCGAAATTCATGGCTCATATTTAGCATCACGACGCGACATTTCTCTTTGCTCTCTCTCCTGGTTTTTACTTAGAAAATACATGCAACATTTATTTAAAGATTGTGTTGATTTTTTACGAAGGCGACGTGACAAACGAAACACTCGCTTTTTCCGCAGCACGCTGCTTTTTTTCCATTTTTTTCCAATTTTTTTTTTTTTTTTTTGTTCTTTCCATACCGACGCGATCAAACGAAAACTATAAATATCGCGCTGGAAAAAAAAAAAAAATGTATCTTTTCTTTTGAGTAAATATCAGAAAAATTGAAACCGAAGAGCGAAAAACTTCTCGTCGATTTTACACGCAAGTGCAACTTGTAGAGTTTCATTAAAATCGCAAAAGAAAATATTCAATTATTTTATCATAAACATCTGGATGGTATTTTCTGTCTCTTTAAAAATTACAGAGGTTACACGTAGAATAACGAAGGATATTTATATTCAAATTTTGCATTAGCCTTTGCGCGCGAGAGGAATTTGCATTTAGATACGAATGCTCGTGCAATATTCAATATCGTGGAATATTCTCTCATTTCCTCGCGCACATAAATTTCTTGCCCCTTTGATAGAGAATTAATAATTGCTCTCGCGCAGAACGTGAACGTGATAGGTATCGAGGTATCCTGGTAGAGTCTCCGGATGGAACCAACAGCCGCGAGAACGTGTATCCTCACCGTCGTTTGAGTGGATCCTTCGCGTATCTCGAGGACTCTGCGTATTCGGAACTTCGCAACAGGGGCGGCGGCAGCGACGACGACGACGACGACGACGACAAACAAAATTCCGCGAAGAGCGTCGAAGATAAGCAGAAATCTGTGAAACGTATCTCCTCGCATACGTGCTCCTGTCGCATTAAGAAACAAACTCTACGCGTGAGTTACGCTGTAAATCAAACTTTATAGCAGCGCACATCTCTTTCTCTCTCTCTCTCTCTCTCTCTTTCTTTCTCTTTGTCTCGCGCTACTATACACAGTTATCAATTTTCCAAAGATCCGTGCAGACGCATGGAACGTTTTTGGGAGCAATCCAAGTCATCATGAACTCCGACTGGCGGTAGACAGAAAAGAAGGTGAAGCAGATGTGACGACGCCCGAGGAAACATCGCGCGAAAAATCGGAAGCATACGCAATGGAAGCGACCGAGAGCGATTCGACTACGAAGATCGTTGCGGCGGTATCCTCAATAACGATGGGAGCAAATCCCGTTGCGCATTCTTCGCAAAACGATCCGAGCGAACCAGTGGCGTCGACTTCCAGATGGGTAGCGCCGTTTGTATCGTCCGGGAAATTGCGAAAAAATCGTCCCGGTTTCAGATGGCCAAAATGCGCGAGAAAACTCGCGCCTGTGTTTAAAAGACGCGGAGGAAGGAGGAGTGTCGGAAAAGCGGCGGAACCGTCTACGATCGCTATTACCAGCGCCAGCGACGGAATGAAGATTACGCAAATAGAGTCGTTCACTGCGCAAACCGCTCGTAAGGACAATGAAAGTCGGCCCTGCGTAAACACTCGAGTGCAAACACTCGACACGATTGTTACGAGGATCTTATCGGAGTTCTTTGTCGCCAACGGGACGAAAAAGAAGACGAAGAAGAAGATGCTGATGAGTATAACGCTGCAATCGGAATCGGACGACGAAATCGTGTCGTCAAAAGAGACGGGAACGCAAACCTCGACGAACCCCGTTGTTTCCACGGAGACGTTTAACTCGCCGGATATATATCGGCCACGTCCCGTGTGTCCGGTTTTAGACGCGTCAAGAATCGTACAGTGTCTCGATTGCAACAAGTCCGAATGTTACGAGATAAAACGTTCCCTCGATTCGATCAGTTTAGAGGAAACGCTGGCTGTGGAATATCCGGAAAGGTCCGAATTCGACGGCTACGTGGCTGAACCGAAACGAGCTGATGAATTTTCGGGATAATTCACTATCAGAGATATTTCCAGCAGATAATAACGCAGGTAAATATGAATATTAATTAATATGAATATTAATTATCTTTAAATCGTTATAGATTATAATTTTAACAAGCAGAGTGTAATACGCGCGTTGCAAATATTCAAATTTGTGTTCGTCAGATCTTTTTTTTTTTTTTTTTTTTTTTATTTAAATCGATGCGTAAATTCGATATATCGAGACGGTACTATTCGCAAGTTCAGTTTGAACACTTTAACCTCGGCGACCTCGCAATATATTAATTTTGTAACCTGACGTTTTCCCCACGCATGTTCGTATTTCCGTCCGTCCGCTCGCCCGCCCGCCCGTCCCCGTTCGTTCGTTCGTTCGTTCTCTATGTGCGTGTCACAACTCCGCTCGATGCAGCACCGCACCGCATCGGGAGATCGACGTCCGAAATGAAATTTTAATTATTAACAGCAACAGAAACAGAAACACATAAGTTAATTATGGATAACCTCTGCAAATTGCGAAGTTCAAGCGAATTCACACATCGGAACGATTCTCGTAGTTGGCGCGAAGCAAAATTCTAATTCAGCCTATTCAATATTAACCATTGCACACATTCAATTTGGCGTATTCAATATTAACGCGACGTTCTGCCACAGGTTATTATTAACACGCGCGCGTTTGTGATATAAATCAATAAGCATGGCGAATAACGAGAACGAGATTGTCGATTTCGCAACAACAAACTGGACCGAACGAGCGAATTGTTTCGTCAGCTGCGGCGCCGGCGTCCCGAGTGCGACCGACCAAAGTTATCTGACTTTCAATTATTGCGTTCCCGGCGACGCGTCGCGAGATTACATGCTGTTTTACAAGCTGATGAACATCTTGACGCACTCCACCGTGCACGTAATACGCGACAAAAAATTAGCGCGCTGCACCGTGGAAGACAAGGGCGTCGGGACGTGTGAAACTCAAGATAGTGTCATTACGTACACGTCGTTATCACTGACCGGAGATAATATAATTACACCTGTTTGTAAAGTCAAGCGAGTGAAGATCGACGCGGTCACGTCCACCACGCGACTGGGCGAAACCGCGCGGTGCACGATTGTTTCGACGTGCGACGAAATCCAGAGCGATTACGCGAGCAAAGAATTCGACGCTTTTGCGGAAGCGTGCGAGAGGAGGCGGCGCGCGGACCAAATTCTTGGAAAAATTTCGGAAATATCCGACAAGTTGACGGAGAAAAAACGTCCGGCGCTCGACAGTGCGATAGAATCGGTCTGCGAATCGACGTCGACAGACAGCGAGAACGACGAGACTGACGAGGAAATCTTCGAGCGCGAGAAATTATTGCCGATTATTCGAACGAAAGAGAAAATGATCGATGCAACGGCGCCGACCGTAAAGCAACAACCTCAACCTGTATATATTTCAGAAATAAAAAAGAAAGAAAAAGAGAAGATAGAACCGTTGGAAAAAATTGATTCGCGTCCAAAACTGGACAAAGACGTTTCCGTTGTTCGTGACAACGCTGTTGTTGGTTCTTTGAGAAGAGATTTCCCACAGGAGACGAAGAAACGTGACTTGTCCCGTAAGATTTCGAAACCCTTCATTAAATCTAAGAAACTTGCCCCGGAAGAGAGATCGACGTCAATTGTGAAAATACAAAGCGCGGAACAACGACGTGTCACAACTGACAAAAAAATCGCGACGTTTCTCTCGTCGCCCGAAATGATAAGAAATTTTTTTGCTCTTTCCGGAAGGTCGCCAAGAAAAGTGTGTTCGAGAGATCGATGCAAGTTGTCGAAAATTCTACAGGCGACGCGATTCTGCGACGATGCAACGCCGAGTAACATCTGTTTCGAAAAATCTAAATACCTCGACGCTATTCCGAGTTTTTGTTCGCGGAAAACTGCACGAATCGCTACTTCAAGTCACGTTTGTTGTTCTCCGTTACGAGATTCGTGCGCGAGATACCAATCCGGACTTCGATTGCCGATCGACGCTAATGCGTCCTTCGGAAATTGCGATGTTAACAATTACGCGAACCGTAGGACAACATTTGGAAATTTGCAGCCGCGTTGTATCTGCAGCACGAAGTGTTATTATTTGCGTTCATCTGACATGAACAACGTTCGAATGGGCGGGCATCATCATCATCATCATCATCATCATCATCAGCAGCATCAAAGCTGGCCGGCATGGAGCAACGCTCGGCTTCACGGAAGAGATCAATTGTATTGCTGGACACGTGGAAATTTATACTTTACGCATCCGTGGACGTTCGGACATTTGTTGCGATTCAACTGATATCGACAGCTATGTGTAATATTTAATATTTTTATTTTGAATAATTGAAGAAATCAATTGCGTGTCGGTGGCGCGAAGGTTACGTGTCGTTTTACACATCGCATATGACACGCTTTAATACGCGCACGGTTTTATTGTTTATTTTTCATGAAATTTACGGATATAAGATACGGACGGACAATGTTACAACATCGAGCAAATTAAAATAAATAAACGGACAAATGGGTAACGTAATCCGCACCGCAGTCGGTGACGTGCGTCAATCCTAATTATATACCGCGTACTAATTTTAGTTATTAACCCGGATGTGCGAACGGTCATATAGTTTTGCGCTGTCGAGCACACAATCCCGGCGTATATTAATAATTAAAATTAATAACGCGCTAACTTACAAACATACATGCGCGCGATACTCGGCACATCGATGCGGGACGACGAGACAAATATGTCGCACGATATATTAATGCGGACAGGGGAGTGATTATGTGTGTTTGTGCAGCGCCTGCTGTGCTGCGTGTTGCATCATCAATTAGTATAGTTCGCGACAACTCTCTAATGATAACAAATAATCCCCCCGAACCCGCATTGCGAAAAAGTTACGAAAAATTAAAGAAATGACTATGCGTCGCGAGAACGAGAAGATTGTTGGCAAAAGAGCGGAAGTCAACGAATGAAACGGACCACGTGATCGTCTTTTCATTTCGCTTTGCAAAACTATTTCGCTACTTGGAAACCGTCCACGGGCAAGAAGAAACCATTTTAGCGCGTTTCCCGCAAGAAACGTCAAACAGTGTCAAAAAGAGCTTGCGGGCAGTTGGAGAACTTCGGGTCACGAGACTTTCTATCTTTAAACAGGCTTCGCGGTTGGCGATTGTGGTGTAACTTCGCAAAAGTTCGTCACGAAGTTCCTGGATAGACCACCTGCTGGACACTTTGACGAAACGTAAATTATACAAAAAAAAAAAAAAAAAAAACAGTTGTGCGTTTCATGATTTGTTAAAAATTTATTCCTCAGAATAATACGGATTACTATCATAAACATTAATTCTTTATTGAAATTAAATAGTAATTTAAAATCTCTTCTTTTTTTAACAGAACAAATTAAAATATAAAATAATCGATAGCAACAAATTTTTTAATTTCATAAGATTTTATTGGAACAAACAAAGAGAGGAAGGGATGATAATATTATTATTATTATTATTAATTTCCGTTCTGATGGAAATCGGTGATGCGATTAACTATTCGAGGAACATTCATGCGCGAAAGCTCGGTGGTTTGCGCGCGCGAGAAGACACCTCTTCGGCGGGGATCTAAGCAGCCTTTGTACTTTGGAGTCCATCGGGACGAAAACTTGGTCGGAGTTTGCGGCAATCTGTTTGGCGAAACTTCCTGGGTGACCGATATAACGAGGATGAGCTCCCGGCTAGTCTTCCTGAAATGTAACATCGTGCGGGCCTCGCAAGCAGGGCGGGTGTTGCCCGCCGCGTCGGGGAACAAGCGTCTCGATCGTGCAACGCCAGGTATAGCCGCCGTAAGCAGCGGAGAGATTTAACGTCATCCCGGATGGATGTGCATCACGCCGGCGTGTCGTACGAAGATTTACTATTCAACTTCGTACACGGTGCGGGAACTTGGTCCGCGAAGAGGAAATACGATACGCTCCGACAGAACGTCACGCTGCGCGTCATCGTTCACGTAAAGCACCGCATTCGAGAACGCTGATGTCGACAACGACGACATCGATGGCTACCGGGATCGGAGTTTGCACGTCACGGACGATGATAATGACAACACGGAAGGCAAGGAACTTTCGTAAGAGATGCGACGACATCGTCGTCGTTCTCTCTGGATCGCGCGAAGTAACAGAAGGAAACTTCACGGCGGCGTCGTGGAACATCGTGAAAGAGCGCACTTCCATTGAGGAAGATTTCAGACGAAGAAAAAATCGCGAGAGGAGGATGCGAAGGATCCCATAATGCTCCTCGACGTCTCCATCCGTCGCGTTATCACGCTAAGTTGATTAAACACACGGACGACAACAAGCGTTTCCCGTCCCTTCTCTCGCGGCAACTCCTTGCCATCATGTTTGTGTGTGTGTGTGTATATGCGCGCGCGCGCGCGCGTGTATATCGTGCCGCATCGTACGTCCGGCAACGTGCATGCCCGGTCGTGTATCCACCTCTGTCTAACCCACCTCCGTGCAATCTGCCGTCGTGTAATCCGCCGGCGTGTAAACCACCCTCGTGTAAACCGTCTCCGTGTAAATCACTGCCGTGTCCAGAGCCATCGGCCTGTCCGTCGCCACCGTCGTCGTACGAACACGTCTCCGTGTGTTCTGGCGTCTTTGGACCGTTCAATTCCGACCAGAGCTTCTGCCCGTGTCCGATAGACCGATGTCATTCGCGTAGTAGAGCACATACGCGACATCCGTCGTGAGTCCTGCTCGCCATAAAAGACGACGACATTCGCATCAATAAACGTTGAGAGGATTGCTCGTTAATTCGCTCGAATCTGAGTCGAATGGGAGAATCAGGAAATTGCGAAAGATCTGACGGAAACGTAATTTTACAAATTAATCATTGTTTTTCTTCTCTTCTATCTCTCTCACGCGTTATATCTTGTTGATTAATTGTTGCAAATTTTTAAAAAGTTTGTTTTTGTTCAATCTGATTTAAATCGATTTAAATCTGATTTAAATCGAAATTTTATTTGTTTTATTCGTTTAAAATTAGCACACACAGAGTATAAAGTATATGTTGTATACATGAACGCGCGCGCGTTTAAATTCCGCCAATGCATTACATTGTGACCTACAAAAGTCGTGTTTCTTGCGGCGCGCGGATGTCGCGGTCAATTGCGCGGAAGAATATATAGCCGCGCGCGAATCCCGGCGGCGAAGTGGGTTGCTCCGTCGTCGTCGGGGAAACACCCCAGGAAGCGGTTTCGGAAACCGAATGCTCGCCGGTGTTGGAAATCCGAGCTGCGGAGAATGTTGCTAATGATTCAGTGTCTCCGATGAGATTCCACGCCTTGAGCGTTGCGCGCTCAATAATTAATAAATTAAACTACTTTCCGACGTAATTCTGACGCGATTCCGGGATTTCCGAGTACATGTACAGCTTGAGATCTCGTTAAACCCGATACTCGTGAAAGTACTTATCAATGTTTAATCGCGCACTGCAAATCACGTCGCTCAACAGCTTTCTCAACAAAAAAAATGACATAATTAATCTAACCAAAGAAACGTAACCTCCTCAATCGATGTCAAGTAAATACGACGGTGTAAAAACTGTCGAGTGATAATGACACTTAAATATGAAATTATTACGTTGTTTACTGAACTCACCGAAATGGCCGCTGCGCGTGCTCGGAATCGCGAAATTATCCGACTTCGATTTTCTCAAGACCTTGCATCCCGATCTATCGGATAATCAGCTTCTAGATCGTTTAAGAAAGCAAAGTAAAGACTCGGACGAGATCCTGGCGGAGCATCGTCGGCAAGTCGCCTGCGAGAAAGAACTTGCGCGAGTTCTTCATAATCTCAACGTCGGTTATCGAATCATAAAAAGGTAACGTTCTTTGCGAGTACAAGTTACTTTGTGAGAGTTAACAAACCTGTCGTCGTCACAAAGCTCTTCCTTCCGCTTCTTAAAGCGTAAATCTTTCTAACGTAATTTCAAGATTGCAATTTCGAAATTTGACTTAAGTTTTCTTGACAAAAATTAATTGTCAATTTTAATTAAACTTTGCGGAAGGGAGTGATTTTGCCAATTGCGACTTTTTTTTTCCGAATGCAGAATAGACGTCGCGGGCGCGAGCACGAGCGGATGGGCGGATTTGGTGATCGCGATTGGCGGGGACGGCACCTTTCTCTTAGCCTCGAAGTTGATAACGAACAACAAGACGCCAATCATCGGCATAAATCCGCATCCGAGAACTTGCAACATCTTTACCGTGCCGGTGAGTGACAGCGGGGCGGAGATCGAGAGGATTTTCGAGAAATTGCACGCGGGCGATTTCGCCGTTCTGATGAGGAGTCGTATACGCACGATTATGACGGGAGAGGGGCTTTATCGGGAACCTTTTCATCTGCACGAGAAGAGCCGCACGCAAGAAGAAAGAAGAATAGAGTAAGCGAATTAGCTTAAAGTTTCTTTGGCGAATAACGTACGGATTAAGGCGTAATTCATACGCTTTATATTTAACCGACACGCACCCATGTATCTTCTCTAATCTTTGGGAATAAAAGTATATAAGCAAGAAAGAGAGAGAGAGAGAGAGAGAGAGAGAGAGTGAGAGAAATACATATATACATGAAAATGGAGAATAAAATATAAAGACGATAAAAATAAGAACGGTATAAAGAAAAATAAAAATCTATATCTCCGCGCGCAGAGGACACATTATTTATCTCTCTTTTCTTGCGCAATATTCCACATTTTATCTCCGCGCCGTACCTTTGGTAAGAGCCGACTTGGAAAACTATCTCTCAGAAATACAGTCGCCTGTCGCGATTTCACGTAAGTCGCGAGAGCGAGAAAGAGAGAGAAAGAGAGAGAGCTCGATGTAGATTATAGAATTATCGTATTAATATAAATCCGGGGCGTGTCAAAGCGAACAGAACTGAGAAGAGAAGCGAGGAAGAAGAGGAATTTACCGGTACGCACGACGGGTATCTCTTTATTCGCGACTCGCCTGAAAGGGAGAAACTTCCTTCGAGTCGTCATTGACGGTAACGTAGCCCGCTCTTGCAAAAAGATAAGATCTTGAATGCTTTTTGATAGTCGGGGAGTGGTTGGTACGGACTGCATAGCGAAACGAGAAGTAATAAGGTTGTGACGAGGGAGAAAGAGAGAGAGAGAGAGGGAGAAAGAGACGTATATACGCGCGTGCGGCGAGAGAAATGTCCCGTGTAATTCCGTTAGATCTGCGAAAGCGCGCCCGCGCGTAGATGGAGAAAGCATTAAAGCGCGTTTGCCTAGCAACGAGACCGCGCTAAAACTTTTATTTACCGACCACCACGACGAAGATGCGGTCCAAGTTTGAAATAAGCAGCCGGGGAAGGAGTATCGCGTCGATTCTCTACATCTTCTCGCGAGGACGACGTCGTAATGCGTCTTCATTGCCCGAATTCTCTCTCTCTCTCTCTCTCTTTCACTCTCTAACGCCGTAAGCAAAGTTCCGAATTGCAGCTTATGCGCGTTATAACTTCGGCAGTTATAACTTGTAAATTACAAAGGTCCGCACAGTTACGGCTTGCGCGTAAGGAGGCCGGTCGTAACTTCCGAATTTAGCGCGAATTTTACGAGGTGACACAATGCGCTCGACGGCATAGGAGAAAACGTATCTTCTCGCTGAGGAAAGACGCGTCGATTAATTAAGGCTGGAAAATGCGAAAGGGATTAATCCGCCGATTGAATTTAATTCGACATCCAACGACGGCGAATTGCTCAGACGTCGCACGCTTGATATTCCATTACGTTTCCATGCGGCCTCGTTTTCTCTGTGTCTCTCGCGACGTCGCTCGCTCTTACGTCCCATTAATTCCTTTCGCAACGGAGACGTCTCCGGAGAGACGCCCTAAACAAATGAAATCTTTGCAGCGCACTCACGAGATCCACTCAGAGGAAAATAGCGGATGCTCTGCAGCCCCGTCGAAGAGTTTTGCCCTGGCTGGCATTAAACGAGGTTGTACACATTTGGGACGTAAAACGGTCCCAGTCTCGTTGTTGTCGATCAATAACAATTATCGCGCGCGCGCGCTTTCAGGTGTTCATGTCCGAGTTTGTAGCGGCCAGGACCATCACTCTGACTGTCGAGGTCGACGACGAGGAGACGTTCACGGTACGCTCGTCGGGTATGTGCGTTTGCACGGGTTCGGGTTCTCGCTTCTGGTTCCGAACGATGAATCTCAAGACCGTCGAGACCGTTCGCGTACTCGTCACCATTGCAACCGGCAGAATTTTGAGTGCAAAAGAGAGCAACGAATTGCTGCGCAAGTATCACAACAATCTGCTGTTCTCTCCAGGTAGCAAACCACGTGTTTTTACAGATCGAGAGTTGGCTTTTTCGAATCTTATCTCACTCTCTCGCACGCGTCATTTCAGAAGACTCCCGAATGGCTTATACGATATACGAGATGTATCGCAATTCGCGCTATTCGACGCGTATTTCGGAAAAGCGAAAATGCCGCAGGATCAAGATCAAGTCGTCGGGTTTCGACGCCGCTCTCGTTCTCGACGGAAGTTTATCCGTGCCCTTCAACGACGGCAGCACCGCGGTCTTCGAAATCTGTCCCGAGTGTTCGTTAAAAAATCTCATATTTTGCAGCAATAAATTTATTTAAAAAAAAGAAAAGTAAAAAATGATGCGTTGAAATTAATTAGCCTTCTCAACGTCGTAATTAAGAAAAGACGGTCGTTAAGAAAGGGGAACATAAGTTCTTTCGGTTTACTTGCTGAATCTCGGATGACGAAAAAAAAAAACTAAATGACTCTTTCAAGTCTACAAATTTATATCGCGCTGACGACGGACGGCTTGATACATTTTTGTTTTCAGCGTCGAGAGAAATGGATCCGCCTTTTTTCTCGAAGCGATCTACAAGGGCTACCGGCTCTTCGCGATTTCTTGTTCCTTCCCCTCTTTTACCTCTTTCGTCGGGCGCAGACCCAGGCTTCCATTAACCCCGCAATTTCGGGTTCCCGCCGAAACCCGCAAACACTCCTTGTCGCAATTCGAGCACGCGCTCGGATTGTATCTCTGTGTTTCACGAGCGAGAGAGCGTACCTTCTCACATATATATATATATATATATATATACATCTACCTTTCGCCTAAGTGCACTGTTCCACTTGGAACGAAAGTTGTGGGGACGCACGAGATACCAGCCGTGCGCAAAGCTCTTGAGTAGCTGAGCGAGAACGTGTTTTCGGGAGCAGCGCGGCGTAAAGTAAGCGGCAAAGGAGTTGCGAAGAAACGAAAGTCTCGCGACCCGCGTCCAGTTTTCGCCGCTGAAAACTTTAGTTTTATTAAAACCGATCGCTTCTCTCGACAATTGCGCTCCGAAAGAATTTCAACAGCATTGTTTCTCTTGTTTCATTAAATAACGGACTCGCGCGGTCAAATCGAATCTCGTTTCTTTCTTCTCAACTTACTCAAATTGAATTAGTTTGTCGGGAAAATGATTTGAACGGTTTTTTTTTTTTTTTAATTATTTACGCACGAAAAGAATTATTAATCTATTTAGTAAATTATTCATTTATTTGTTATCATTTAATTTTCTCCGGCGTTATTTGTGTCACAGACACACATCTCTCTCGTGTGAAGAAAGAACATGGCATTTAAGCTGTCCGTGTGGGCTTTCCCAATCGGATTTCGGTGAACGGCCGAGCCATTCTCATTAATCCTCGCGAAAGCCCCAATCTGTAAGAACAATGGTGATCCATCCCAGACAGTCTCATGGAGGACAAACAAATGTACGGGCAAACGGGAATAACGGGCGATGTCGGGCGGTCCTTTGTACTTCGTAATTGAACGTCGTCGTCGACGTCGCCGTCGTCTTCTGCTAAAGTTTTCGACGCGGTGTCATTTCAAGACAAGAAGGTCCGCGATTCGGACACAAAACAAAACGGATATAACTTTCGCGCACGCAAACACACAATCACATACAAAATGGAAATCGGCAAAATTTATAACATTTAAAGCACCACACACGCAACAAAGAGCAGACAGCGCGATAATTTACAAATTTCTGCGCATCGCGAGATCCCTTTTATTTTTAAAACAATGCCCGCTTGTTACACAGCGACAATACGAGCAACGAATATCTCTTCGATATATCGTCCGTGCAATATCGGCTTGTTATCGGTATCACGCAGCATAATTAATTAATAATTATCCCGATACGCCCGCGTGATAATGATTTAAAACGAACGCGAGCACAATAGAATGCTTTAGCGGCCAGCGATGCGTCATTACGATTATAAACATATTAATGAAGCAAAGCGTTAACACGGGATTACCGCTCGAGGCGCACGAAACGACGCGGAATGTATGCGCGCGCGCGGTTTTGCAAGCGATACGATTTTCGCGAAATATGTATATATGCGCGTATTTATAAAATAAATAAATAACTTTCGACGCATACATACGATGTTTTTACGCGTGTAAGCAAACCCTGGCGCGTTGCGCGTGCTGTGTAATCGCAAAAATCAATATTATCCCCGCGGCTGCCTTTGCCGCGCGCCGCGCCTCGCATCGGCATCGTTTCCGCGAAAATCGCACTTCTTCTCTCTTTTTCTCTTTCTCTCTCTTTCTCTCTCTTTCTCAGCGCGCACTTCGAGCCGTATATAAATTCGTCAACCGATGACCGGTCGCGGCCATTTTGCCCTTATCCGAAGATTTAGCTTCCTTCGTGCGGATCGGTAATAGCGGCTCGCGAGATTTATTAGCGGATTCATGGGCGGGACGTTAATTCGTGCCGAAAAGCTCGAGGGGTGGCTCGAGGAGAACTCGCGAAATGGCGAGCGGAAAAGAAGAACGAGAACGGAAGACGGTAAAGGGTAAGTGGTAGAAACCGCGAAAAAGAGTAGCGCGGAAAAAGAGAAAGGCAGAAAACCGCATCCGAGCCGCGCGGAACACGCGTACCGATGAAAGGCGGATCCGCGGATGTGTTTTTTTTTTTTTTTTTTTTTTTTTTTGCGTGGGCAATGCAAACGCTGTCTTTTTTTTCCTCCCGGCTTTAATCCACGGTTGTAATTTGATCCGCCTTTGTAGCGACCGCTACTGTCGCATCGTTCGCTTTGCGTATATACGGAAAAACGTCGCGCATGCCGGGCGACCGCCGCAAAGCGGGAGACGGAATGTAATGACGGTTAATGAAAATATGAAAGGCTAACGCGGGAAGAACGGGCAAGCACGCGAACTGCAACAGCGCGACGTGAAGTGGCGAAAAAGCGGGAAAATATAACGAGCGGCGATTAATCGCCGCGTCTAATGCGCTTTGATCGATCCACTTTGTCATTCCCATCCCGTTTCGTTCGAGATACGTAAAAATGGCTACGTCGTTGAGTTAGTCGAGGGCCATTTGCGCCGCTGTTTTATCGAGGAGCGGAGGGAGATACCCCTTTACCCCCGCGCGTTGAATAATGTGAATTGGATAATAAATGATAAAAAAATTTTTTTTTTTATTACTGTCTCTCTTCTCTGTTTTCTTTCTTTCTAACTGCCATTTCCACTTAATCCGTGATATCGCGCTGTATTATTCTCGCCCCGAGCGATTCAATTCGGCATCTCAGAAGCTCTCGAGCGACGCGGATAAACGAGTTTCGTCGTCGAACTTGCTTAGCGTGTTAAAGAGCCGGGGCCACGTGCGCGCTTGCTTGCCGTTTTAAGGTTCATGCCCAGCGGAGATTTTTCAACTGTGTGAAAAACGAGCGTAATATGCACCTCGCAGTCAGCGGGGGTTACGGCAGACGTAGCCGTCCCGTAGTACCGCAGGTTTTCGTAATTAGGCGATAATTTATCGGAGAGGAGGTGTCGTCCGGGCGCTCGTGTCGCCCCCGGCATGGTTTATCCTGAGCGTCGTCGCGACATCCCCATGACGACGGAAACGGAAAGGCGAACAAAAAGGGGACTACGGAGAGGGTGTGCGGACGGCGGACCAAAGCGCGTGGTGTACAAACCGAAAGAGAAGAACGAGCGAGGCTCATTTCCCGTTCGTCCCCGTCGTGCTCGATGAATTTCGACGGAAAATTGTCGAAACGACGATTTCAAGTTTCCCTCTTCCGGTCGTTCTCTCGCCGTCTTTTCCTACTCACGGAAAGAAGAAAACCGCGAGGTTGAACTCAATTACGCGATCGAGACCCCATCCCCAAAGAAATTTAGCGCGAGGTTGCGCGCGCGAACGACAATCTCAATAATATTCACCATATTCAATGCGGTTCATTTCACCCGTTTTTTCTAAGACCACAATAAACGTTCCTTTTTCTTCTTATTCTCTCTCTGTAATGCGTATATATAGTTATCACTTGTCTCTCGTCGTCGTTTCTCCCGCGGTCGCTTCCGCAGAAGCGAACTTCTGATTTTACCGAGGGGGAGGTTGCCCCGGGAGCGCCGCGAAGCGAAAGGAACCGGAGATTGTCGCGCAAATGAATTTGAAGTATTGCCGTTCTATATCTCTCCACCTGTCTCCGGTGCGCGCGGATCGGCAGCTCTTTCCGACTTTCCATTATCTTACCTTTTGCGCGGAACAGTTCCAGGTACGATCTCCTTTTCTCTTCCCCCTTTCCCCCGACTACTTCCTTTCTTTCTGCGATCTTCTTCTTCTGTCATATCTCTCTCTCTCTTTTTTTTTTTTTTTTATCATCGTCGCGGTCTCGTTTCCGTTCGTTCCACCAAAAGTCTCTCGGATCGATGCGTTCCGCGATCCCATATTCGTGCTTTGGCGACCGTGCGAATTCGTCCGGTGCATCGGCGATAAATCGAGGTGATTCGAGAGTCACAATAAAGGTCGTATAACGTTTCTCCTTCGCTGTTATATCCGAGAACGCTGTTCGCGAGCGGCGATTTGTTTTGTCATCTCGCGAAATTGATGAAGAGACCGCGTTGTAAACGACGACGATGAGGGAAAAATCGCTCCGACGTGTGAATTTAAGCAGATGTTGTTGAAGTTAACGAAGTAATTACGGACTCTCTCTCTCTCTATATATCCTCTCTTCGTATAAAACTCTCGCTGTATAAAAGTATAACATAAGAAGTTGGGAGCGGCACATTGAAATCCAATTAGGATACTTTCTGATTAATTTCATCGCGCTGCCGCTGCTCGCGAACAGTCGCGCCTCATCACACTGACCGTTTCTGCTTTCGCGAAACACACAGCTGAAACTCTCGTTTCTCTCTCGCGATATCAAGAGTGCTTGCCGCGAGCTCCGGGGCAGGTACAATAATATTATCACAGAGTTAAGTTATCTCGCAGTAGTCGCAAAGAATTCCCATTAAAGGATTTCAAAGGATAAGGTCGAGGTGGGAGTAGGGAGGGAGAGAAGATTCTCTCCCGTGCCCCCCCTCCCCCGCCTCTCGGAACTCGGCTTAAATTATCGCGGAGTGTGTTTGTTCCATTTTCTGCACCGGCACCGCTAAGCTCAAAGCAGCCTTTTGACCTGAATACTCGACGAACGCCGTTTTAGCCGCGCATAATGCCGCTAAATAAGGGCACTAAACGGGTTATCCTGTCACGTCGCGCGATTAAGTGGCAAACGCGACGCGATTTATAACGATTATCGGAAACTGGGATACAACGTCCGGCTTCAATTTTCTACGGCGGCAAAAGAGAGGCGAGGGAGGCGAGAAATGACGCGGTGGCGGGGTCGAGTGAATAAAACGCGTTTATAAGTTAAAACGGAATTTTCCCCGCTCATCGGGGAGACTTTCTCTCCCGGTCGTTATTACGACCGGCCAATAAAACTAATCGTACTCTTTAATTATCGTAATCCCAGGCATTATTCCGCGCTGTTAAGCTCGACACTAATCATCCGACGTCGAGCGATTCCGTTTATCCGCCATGGGCAGAAAACCTACGCTCTCGCTTTCTCTCTCTCTTTCTCTCTCTCTCTCTTTCTCTCTCTTTCTTTCTCTCTCGCGATAGAATAAGCTCAGCCAGAATCCAGCACTCTGGAGAACGACCGGGCCGATTATACTTTTATGTCTGTGATTATTTAAAATGATATTTTTTGAAAAGACTGGACATTAATACTTTCGAATTAATATGATACGAAACTAATACATATATATTTATATTAATTATAAAAATATTTTTAATAAAACAGGGGAAAGCTTTTTTGTATGTTATCTATTAATATTCTTTTTTTTATCGTATTTTCTTGATGTATCCACTAACACCGTGTGGCCTTCGATTTCCTTTACGCCGGTACCCGCGGCTATTCCGCAATACCGTAAATCGCGAAGCGCATCTCGTTGCCAGGGAAAACAGGAAAGAGAGAGAGAAAGGGGAGGGGGAGAGAATTAAAGTTAAGGGCAAACAGGATGCGAGAAGCGGGAGAAAGCGAGGTTGGCCCGAAGCTCCCTTTTAAAACGCTCCCCGTGGTGAAATAAATTGGCGCCGGCGTGTTTACACGTTAGGGCGAAATTAAAATTCCTGAAGTGTTGCGAGGTGGAGCCTCCGCTGGTGGAGGAAGAGACGCGGAAGAGAGCGGCTAGCCGCGGGAGGGAGGGAGACACAGAGACGGAGAGAAGTGCGAGCTGGGATAAAGAAGAGAGAGAGAGAGAGAGAGAGAGAGAGAGAGAGAGAGAGAGAGAGAGAAAGGATGCCGGGCGTCGACGGACCGGGTGCCCGAAGGAGAGATGTGTTTAATTAATGACCGGACTAATTAAAAGCCCAAAGAAAAATACACTCGCGCGCGCGATCCAGAGCGGCGCGCACGGGGGATAAGGGCCGCGCTAAAACACTCGTTCGGCGTTAATGCACGAAAGCGTCGCGACGACGATGGCGAGACAGAAAGAAGTAGATGAGAACGAGTTGGCTAATAAGTTCGTCCTGTTTCAATTACCTCTGTTCTTCGACCACGTTTCATACATATATAAATGTATTACATTTCGGCAAATAAGTTCAAAAGAAATGTTTCCACTTAAATGTAGCTCAAGATTTTTTTTTTCAAACACACGATCCTGAGCTACTAGAGGAGCTATGTGCACTCACTGTGTGCAAATATGGTGAGAAACAAAATTAACAGGAACGGAAATAAATTTCATTACGTAAGAGAGAAGTCGAGAACTGAAGGAAAGTATTCTCTCTTGTACAGGACTCCGTGTGTATTTTGCAAGTGTATAACGCTTTGTCTCGAACTAGATTTCCTCGCTGCGTATCGATCGGAGGCGCCTTATCGGACTCTCGCTCTCGCGTGCGCGCGTTCCATTACCCACCTCCTATATCCTTAGTGTAATGATCATACTACGGTTTACCAATGAGCAAACGAACACATCCTGTTAATGTATGAATCTTGCAGGAAGCAAACGCCGGGTTCCCAGGTACAAACACACGTATCCACGTGTGTACCTGACACCGCCGAATCCATATATCGCGCGCAAGCGGCGTATTACCACCTTGTGGTACGATGGCAGGTTTCTAATTAAATAATTAATCGCTACCTAATGAGTTAAGAGGTGGGAAGGAGGGGTTTGTCGTCGTCTCTATATATTGCGAAACCGATAGGCGAAGGGATATGGGCGCCGCGCTTTTTTATTATTAACGAACGCGATTCGGAACAGTTATACGATACACGTGCACGTGGATACACGTGGATACGACGATTCTGGGAAATATTCTGAAATATATGAAACGGCCCGTTTCTCTCCCGATGCGAAATGTGCTGTTTCACCGTCGACGACGACGCGCTCCGACGAGCGCGTGGTATTAAATTATCGTTCGCGCGCATAATCACGGAAGAAACGCAATCGCGTTGAATTCGCGGAAAAATGCGAATACAACACAGAGTGCGGAGAGAGTCCCGCTGTTTTGTAACCGATGCGTCATCAAACTGCGAAACTCAATTTATCGTTTGGGGGGACAGTAAGCTCGCAAAACAAAGTCCATGCGGGTCCATCGATGCCGCCGAAGATAATCTCGATATCGTTGGGAAAATTCCTGCGGGAGACGCCGATATAACAACGGGACGCGGCGGAAAAAGAAGAAAAAAAAAAAAAAATTACGCGGATCCTCGACGACACGGGGGCTTTTGCGTTACGAGTGACGCGGCGCGACACTCGCCGCCGCCGTCTGTATAAATAACGGCGCGTTTACTAATTTAGATATCTGTCAGATAAAACCGTTCTCTATGCACGCGCGCGGCACATCCGTCACAAGCGTTCGTCGTTCGATCGCGTTTCGATACGGCTCGATTCGCGTTTCGATCGCATCTAATATTAAAGGATACGTAACGCGTGCGAAAAATATGAAAAACCGCGGCAAACGCCGCGAAGAGAAAACGTTTATTTGCGTGAAAACGTTGTGTGCGTTTTCCGGAGAGTCTTGTATATTTTATACACGTACACACAAAAGATGTGTATCGTATTCGGTGTGTATCATCTATTCCATTCGAAGAATTGAAGTCAGAAGCAATTACGAAGCAATATAAAAGCAAATTAGAGGGCAATGACTTTTTTCTATTTAATCTTTCACACAAACGTCGCAATCATTTATGCAGCAATTCGTCTCGTTGTACGCTAAAAAAGTCGTATCGTTTATAAGCACATTTTATACTACCTAACTTTTATGACATTCAAAACTTCGTTCGAGGTAACGTGAAATTGTCCACGTTCTTAATACAAATATCAATATATAAATCTTCTGTATTTTCACACACTCTGTCATACACGCGCAAACTAAAAGTAATTTGAGGTAATTATAAATTACAATTAGAGTCATAAAATATGTGTATTTCGACGTAAATGTTGTCGTCTTGTTGTTTAATATGCGCCGTTAATATCTCATCCGTTTCTAGCGTTGTTGTTGTCTGACGAATTTCCGTTGATGCCAGCAAGCGGTACATTTCGTACCGTCCGACAGCTCGTAAACGATCTGTCAAAAACGCGTTTACTCGCTGACGTAAGCGTCACGAATCCAATCGAGGAAGCTACTGAGGTAGGTGAAACCAACGTACGAGTGATAATCGCAGGTGCCACTCTTCGCCGGGCTCACGCTGACGATACCGCGTAGATACCAGATGTCGTTTTTCTCGAAGCACAAACCACCGCCGCTGTCTCCGTCGCAAGCGCTCGAGCCTGTTAACAAATTAATTGCCCCGGTGATGATTGTTATCGCGCACAATTGCAAACAAATTAACGAGAAGCGCGCGGCTTGTTTGTGTGTCTTTCTCTCTCTCTCTCTCTCATTGTTTATACGAGAATCACAATTGTATTGTCAAAGATAATTCATTGTCGGTGTCTTATCGCAATTCCGAGAGAATAAATTCTTAAATCGAGAAAGGCGAGTAAGTCGTGTAAAGTATTTTTTTGCACACGTAAAATCCTACCGTTCAGACGACCGGCGCAGAATTTGTCGGGCGTGAGGAATCCTCGGAAATTTACAGGCACCACGGCCAAACACTGACGGAACGGCACGAACGGCATGTCAATTTCCTGTAAGCTTCTGCTGAATTCGCCTTTGATGTTTTTACCCCAGCCGACCACCTGAAATCACGAAGTGGGCTCACGTGTCCGTTTTATTTTCCCTTCGCGTTTCAACTCTCTCTCCTCTCTCTGTGTATCGAGAAACGAGCCGTGTACCCCTCCCGCCAAAATTAGATGGTGCTTTTCGAGCGGATATAAATTTGCTCCTGCGCGCGCGTGTAAGCAATACACGTATACTTGTTGTGACAATTAGCACGAACACGATACGCAGCAATGTTTCGAATATTCGCCGTCCAAGTTTTCGTTTCGGAATCACGTCGTTAATATAGTTTAACAGCTATTAGTTTCTCCAACTGTACTTTCGACTCGGCTGTACAAAGCGCTCTCTCTCTCTCTCGCAATTAAGTAAACTGCGCCAAGGCGGCCAATTAGTTCGAATTTTCACGATTGATACTCTCTTGGCGTTACCTTGCCGGTGCGTCCCTCCTGCAGCTGCTCCCTCTCGTACGTGTTGTCCCAGTCAATGCAAACTGGTCTTACTAAAGCGGTTAACTCGAAGGGCGTCTTTAGTTTCAACAGAGCTATATCGTTAGCAAAATTGCCCCTCGCTCCCATGTATCTTTCGGCCACCTTGATACTTGCCACAAATGATTTCTGTGCGTAATTCTCTTCGGTTTCCCAATCGCGATAATGTTTGCCACCGGCTACCGCGTATTGCGACTCGTTGTGAAGCTTATTGACAGTCTCGTCGTAAAAGCAGTGAGCCGCTGCGCACACGAAGCAGAGAGAAGATTAATGAATTTTGTATAATAACGAATATGATATAGAATATGATATAATCTGTATAGAGATATGTATATATGTGATATATATATATATATATAACGCGCTGGAGTATTTACCCGATACGACGAGAGTGCTGCTAATGAGACTGCCGCCGCATATCTGCTCGTACTCGCTCGTGCGTTTCTTCCTGTAAATACCAACGTGCCACGGGAATACCCCAACTTTGGCTTCGAATCCGTTCACGATTAAAGTGTTACCGCGCGCTATCGACGTTCCGCATTCTAATCAATCAGAAAATGTCGTTAATGTCTTGTGCGATACGTCAGAGCTGTATATTGTTATATAAGTCGCGGACTTAAGTCACAAACAGAAAACTCGTATAAAAATATGTAATTGTTCGTAGCCGGTAATTATCGTAATAAAAAAAAAAAAAAAAAAAAAAAAAAAAGAAAAAAAAAAGAAAAAACTAAACAAAGAGAAACATGTCGTCACATAGTGTAATCGACACGCGTGTTTGTGTCAAGCATTAGTGAGAAATGTTTATTTTGTCGCGAATGTTTAACTTCCTTTCCGTTGTTTCGTTTCTGTATCGGCGATATGAGCAAATACCTGGCAGACAACGAAAAACGCGACGGTCCCAGAGACCGTCCTCGAGACAGGTGATCTCACGGTAAGCCGGATCGTTCGTTACCGGTAATTTATAAGATGATTTACAAGCGAGCGTAGCCCGTGTGCCCGGCATTATACGCTCGCTACACGACACCGTTTCTCCCTTGTAGCTGCAGACAATGTCAACGCTGGTGCTGTTTAACGGTGGGCAGACCTCTAACGGTGAGAATAGACATCGGAGAAGATAAATTATTAAGGTATGTCATACAATATTAACGAGAGAACATTGTTTTGCATTTTTCTCTCGAAGAGTTAGTTTTAATAATTGAACGCCTACGTTATTTCGCGTTTCGAGGATTGTATCATTAAACGTATTTTCCGGAATTTTTCTGAAGAAAAAAAAAACATAAATGTTTTTATAATTGACTTACTCAGACACTTGGGCGGTTCTAACCATTTGTTATCGACGCAAACTGAAATGGTGTTTCCTTCCAATATGTAGTTGCTATTACAGGTGTAATTGAGTATGCTGCTTATGGGAACAGTGTCACCGGGACGCGTGTCACAATTGTCGTCGCAACCACCCAATTTGTAACGTCCGCCTTGCGGTGGTTCAGGTAAAACGCAGCCATTCTTCTGCTGATTGTTGCTCGATTCTTGCCTGGTCGACTCCTGATTTCTGTTACTATAATTTCGCGAAGTTAGTTGTAAAATATAATGCGTTTGAATATATTAGATTTATCAAGAAATAAATAATGTAAAGAAAAGCTAATGAGAAGAGAATTCTTTTATTTTTTTCCCTCATAGGAGAAAACGAAGTTCAAATAAAATTCGCGTGTGTTTCATTCATGCGTCATGTGTACACGTGTGTGAGTCAAGAATATACGCGATAATCAATTTACTATTTGCTTACCTGACACAAACGTGTTCGTCGCTGCCGTCACGACAATCAATTTTATTATCGCATCTGGCGCTTTGAGGCAGACACTCGTCGCTTTCGCAACGAAACTCGTTTTTTCTGATTAAAGATAATTAAAATGTTTTTCATCAGGCATTTGTGACGCATCAAAAAATTCATGAGTATTTGTCCATCATTTATCGTATTAACATAAATTTGAATCTTTTTAATCACGCACGAGGCGATCGATCATACCTGCACTGTAGATTTTGCGGATAGCTATTCGACTCGGATTGGCGACGATTGGAACTTTGAGATCTTTCTCTATTATCTGAATCTGAATCCTGAAGATTTTTTTTATTATCATAATCAAAGTTTTGAGATCTTCCTTTATTTTCAGAATCGGAAAGTTTTTCTCTATTATCAGGATCTGAAGCCTGAGGTCTTCTTCTAATATCCGACTCAGGGCCTTGGGATCTTCCCTTATTATTAGGATCTGGACCTGGAGATCTTCCTTTATTATTAGAATTTGGACCTGGAAGTCTTTCTTTATTATTAGGATCTGGACCTGGAGATCTTCCTTTATTATTAGAATCTGGACCTGGAAGTCTTTCTTTATTATTAGGATTTTGACCTGGAGGTCTTCTTCTATTATTATTAGGATCTGGACCTGAAGGTCTTGTTCTATTATTAGGATCTGGACCTGGAGGTCTTCCTTTATTATTAGGATCTGGACCGTGAGGTCTTTCTTTATTATCAAAATCAGGATCTTCAGGTCTTCTTTTATCAAAATCAAAGTCTTGAGGTCTTCTTTTATTATCCAAATCGGGATCTTGAAGTCTTCCTTTATTATCAGGATCTGGATCCTGAGGTCTTCTTCTGTTATCAAAATCAGGACCTGGAGGTCTTCCTCTGTTATCAAAATTAGGATCTTGAGGTCTTTTATTATCAAAATCAGGATCTGGAGGTCTTTCTCTTTCTTTAGGATGTGGGCGATAAATAGGTTCTCTGTCGTATGGATCTGGAAATGTCGGAACATCGCCATTATCAGATGAAATTTCAAAACAAAGGTCCAATCCTTTAGTTACTTGAAATTTCGACAGCAAAATTTTCACCTTCATACGGCCTGTCGATGTCTACTTTGTTCAAACCCGGAGGATTATGGTGTAATCCTGGAGGATCATTGCCTACTAATCCTGGAGGACCACGACCACCTGGAGGTCCTCTGCCATTACCTTTCCATTTATTTTGACCCGGTGGTCCGGAAAAACCATTGTTCTCCCGTTTGGAATGGCCTGGTGGACCATTCGCGACTGCCGGATATTGATTATTACCGTACATAAACCAGCCATAGTTATCCTGTATCGATGCTAAAAATGCACAATTTTTATGGATACTCTCTTCTATAAATTCTCAAAAAAATTGTTTTTTTTTTACATATAAAATAACTTTTTTTGAATTCTGCGTTGGAGTTTTTTCGATTTTTACACAAAAACGCACATTAATTTGAAACGGAAGTCGTAAATTGTGTTATATATGTCATAAAAGTAGAAGTTGTTTGAAGATTAGCATACATCAGAATGCGCATATAAAATTATAAACAGGATGTTCGTGTGAAGCAGGTTTGTCGCGGCAAATGGAAAATTCTGATTAACAATCTGACTAAAGTATATATACGAGAAACAGAGAAGAAGTACAAGAAAAGAACGACTTTTACGATCAAATTGATTCAAGGCCAAATTTGTGATACGCAAATGATATATATGTGCGTATGCGATACAATAATTGACTGATACGATAATTCTTAGGCGCAAAATCGTTTAATCTCGTGCGGAAATTCATAGTCATCAGTTTATAAATGATTAATAAATATTCATGATGAATAAATCGCAACGATAAACAGAAATTATTAAAATTATCTTCTTTGACTTATTTCTTATTTCGACTTTGCAAAATTTCTATTTCTCAGAACACTAACGTAAATGAATTTCTGGAGCAAATTTCTTTATCCAAATTTTTTCATATAAATTACGTGTATATGTATATACATAATATTTTTTAAACACTCAACTGCGGATAAATAAAAATACGGACGAATAAACAAATGCAAATAACCGATGTTGATATTGAAATATTCGTAATTAATATTCCAATTATTTCGGCGCACACACCACTTGGACATAGTACTCGCACACTGAATCATATTCACTGTTCGACGATTTATCCGATTATTTAAGAATGCGGAGGAGCAAGCGTATCGGCAGCGAGATCGTGACTTTTAATTTTTGCAATTAAATCGTATCGCCGCGCGAAGTCGCAAAAACTTCCGCGCGGCCGTTTCTTTCGCATGAAACTAGGCGACCACGTTAGGGAACAACAACGGAGTGTGTGTAGATCGTTATGTAAGTTACTCACGCGACGGCAGTAAAGCCAGCAACGACAGAGCTAACGTGAGTGCAACGCGTGTGTTCATAATTGCAGAAGCACCGCCGACATGGTGATCGTCGCTCATAGTCAACGAGGAACTGACCGCGAGTCCCAAGTCGGGCCCCGACACAGTGAGACACTCGGAAGCCCCACGATAACTCAGAGAGATTATTTTGCCAACGGCGTGTGTCGAGACTGGCACTGTGACGGCGAAAGGAGTTGACGATATCAGATCGACGACAGATCAGATTGATAGTCACAACTTCGTGGAAACTTCGTGATTTGATGTCGAAAAAACACAAACACTACAGCCACGGAATAATCTCATCCGTGAGATATAAACACATATATATATATATATATATATACTGTCCATCTGAACATTCTGTGTCGTTGATTGATAATATGATGAACGAGGCTTTCTTTTTTTTTTTTTTTTTTTTTTTTTTTTTTAAATTTTCCCGGGGGTTTTTGAAGGGGGTTTTTTTTTTTTTTTTTTTTTTTTTTTATATTTTTAATCATTCTCCGGACGATTGATGAGACGTAGTTTTTCGTGTTTATCTACTTTGCTCGTTTTATCCGGATGTTTTTCTCCGAGATCCAACACTGTGTGCCGTCCGTGTGGAAAGTCCGTCTATATATACGACTTGGTCTAACTCGCGTTTTTACTCCACGTCGCCGTGCAGTTCATCATAAAAGAGCACGTGTTTGTTACCACCGAAAGTTAGCGATTTCTCGCATATCGCATTACCCGCGATAAGAGGAGAGCGAGAGTCGATAAATTCAAGCAACTCGGCGGAAGCAATAATCACGGAAAATGAACGTTTTACTCCAGCAACATGGAGCTAAACACATATATAAAGTCCCGGAAGGATTGCGCGAACTCTGTGCCGACATCGCACGCGAGGTTCGCTCTCTATGAAATTTGTTATTTGACTTTCCTTTTATCGCCGTCACGTCAAAGGACGATTAAATTATTATCTGATCCGTAAAGGTTCTGCGCTCGCAACCGAGGAACATTTATTGCTTCGTCGCTGATTACGTGGAAGCGCTCCTGATCACGCGTGAAAATGCAAAAGGTTCGTATCGCGCGCGCGCGTGTGTGTGTGTAGTTTAATAATAATTTTGCAATATACCGACAATATTTTCCGATGCGCGATATTGCCCAATTACAAACACACACAAAGATGCTAATTAGAACGTTAAGCCAATTAATTAGCAGATTATTTACACGAGTTTATACAATATCAATTTTTATCTCACAAATCGTTATGTAAATTCGAAGGATACGGAAAATGACCGCGGTATATATAAATCATTCGCCCCGTAAAGGTACACACGCGGCGTGTGTATAACAATCGGTTATAATCGCGCGGAGTCACATGTGTTCTGTAATCGTGTAATTGCGCTTCTGTGTAGTCGCGGTGAAAATCGTAAACAACATTTTACTGGGAAGCGAGGCCATCGTGGGCATACTTCACCGCAGCGGCTTGAGTTTGGAACAGATCGCCCGCGCTGCGCCCAGGATCCAGGTATATATATACAGAAATTTACCACGTCGCGTGCCGGAGAGATAGGGATCCGGTTAAATAATATTTCAGAGTCGCATACTTTTCCCGTTCCCTTTTTTGTTCAGAAGGCATTCCGCGCGTACTTGGACGCGGTAGACATGCGAGCGGCCCAGGTGTGCGACGGTAATTACACGGTGAATTATGTAGAAAAACAATTTCGCGGCGGGTAGACCTCGCATTGTTATAAAGCGCGGTGAAACAAAGTGCGCAGAGAGAGAGAAAGAGTGTGTGTGAGAGAAAGAGAGAGAGAGAGAAAGAAAGAGAGAAATTCCTCCCTTTCGACCGCAGACGCAACGTGCGATGAGAACTGCAGAGTATCCCTGCGAAGTATTCTGAGTGCGACGGGAGTCCCGTTTGAACAGGCGGAGAAGGCCGCCACAATAATACAAGTACGCGCACATCGATACATACATATATACACGCGCGCGGGACTAATGGGACCCTCTAATTGCAATCTCTTTAATTTACGTCTGCTGTCATCAATCAAGGCTGCCTTCCGCGGACATTACGACAGAATGTTGCTAAACGAGTCCCTGGGCATGGTTCAGTGGCAGCGAGCGGCTACGAGAACGCTCGAGATCCTGAGGAAGGCCGGTGCGTCGCAGGCGGAGGCGTCGAGAGCCGCCATATTGATACAGGCTACTTATCGCGGTTACTACACGAGGAGAAATCTGAAGATGAAAATGGGTAAAGACACTTTGCTCTCTTTGGACCGCGATCGTATCTCCGCACGGTCGAGCCTGCGTTTGAGTTTCGCAACCGATTCGCAGCGGCCGCACAAAAAGAGAAAGAAAGCGAAGCGGAAACGATCGAGGAACCACCCGAAGAAACGATTCAAGCGATGGCCTGGCTGGACTCGATGTACGAGGAGTCCGGACTGACGCCGGAGAGAGCTAACGAAGCCGCTTCTGTTATACAAGTATTACACAACTAACGAATTAAAAAACACATTAATTAGAGTAACAATTAATGTAAATTGTTAAAAAAAAAAAAAAAAAATTCTACGTAGAAAGCGTACAAAAGATATCGTCGGAGGAAGAGCGATGTACCGCGCGAGGAATCGAAGAATTCGATGGTGGCGGAAGCCATTGTCAAAAACTTGCATCAGAAAGTCTTCGACGAAGTTCTAAGTCGTGCGGACATTCCCACGGAATTCGGCACTCGAGAGGAACTCGTGAAAACCAGCGAAGAGCTTCAACGCGTTTTCAATGACATGGTGACGCGCGCTCGTTTGGAGGGACAAGGTGGCGATTGTTTTTATTTTGTTTGCGCGACAATTCGATATTGTTTTAAGAACAATATCGAGATTGTTACTTAAATGTATGTGTGACATAAATATATAGTTTTGAATAAATTCCATTATTATTCGTTTGGACCATGTGCGCGCGATACGACGAAGATGAGGAATCCGATGAGGAGGAATCGCCGAAAAATTCAGTAAACGGTGGTATATATTCGAGCGGCATAGGGAGGGATCTGGAAGAGGGTCGTGAGATCGAAGTAGAACCGGAACGTGACGAAGGTACGGACGCGTACGTGCGGGACTGACGTCGGAGAAGAGGACCAAACTTTTCCGAAGGAAGAGGGAGGGAGAGATATCCGCGGCAGAGAGGAATCCTTTTTCTGAATCCGGCAGCGGATGAGCCAATTAACATGGAAACCACGAGACGGGGGAAGAGAAACGAGACAGGCACAAAGTGCGCGAGCGAACAAAAAGCTGCCTCCGGAGGGTCCCCCAAATGCCCGCGGAGAGACACCCCCCCGTGGCTTTTAATGCACACGCTTGCGTTCGATAATTCCGTTAACGTGCCGCGCTTTCCGTACAGCGAGCATTAAAATTCGTTCCCGGACGGAAAATTCGCCCCGGCACGCACCGCGCAAGCAAAACGAGTTAAACTGTCGTGCCCCCTTGTGTGTAACGTTAATTTAATTCGAGCGATACGAGTTAAGCCGTTTCGTCCAAATTTGATTTGCATAATTTTTATTCTCGACGTTTAGAGCTTTAATATGCCGCATTACTTCCGCATAGCTATGTAGCAAAGCAAGCACCTTTTGCGAACAGAAAAAAAATTTCTTTAGTGCACGAACGGAAAAAAACTTGAGGAAACCGATGCCGCGCACAGCAATTTTTTCGTGCGCACCACACTCTATGTTTCTCGCCGCAATATAAAGACAAACAAAAAGAAAAAAAAGAAGTAATTGAAACACAGAAAATATCGGAAAAAATTTTTAATACACATTTAATTCCAATATGCGTTGAGCGCTAAAACGTGCTGGCGCGCGACCCCGATGTTTTAACACGCTTAAAAATAACCAGAAAATCGAAAAACCAAATGTAAAAAGGTTCACGGTGAAACGTGTTTGTGCGAAAACGAAATTGAATCACAGAACGCGTCTACAGGGCGCTCGATTTAAGCAGCAACGGGTAGCGGCCGGCTCGCTCAAAGGGAACTTCAATCGGTCGCATTCGCCCTCGGGCAGTGTCGCGTGTCGGCCACATCCACGACTACAGACCCACGCGATTCCGCAGTTCTCGCAGCGCGCGCGCGGACAAACATGTTTCGTGCCCGGTCCCTCAAGCGGAACCGCGTTCACGCTCTCGAGCGGCGACTCCGGCTGATCGATGATTTCCGAAGTTAGCGATTTGTTACACTCCGTCCTGTCGTCTAAGCGAGTCTTCTCCCCGCACCTTCTGCCGCCGCGGCACCTCCTGCCGGCTTTGTATTTTTCAGCGAGAATGCACATGGAATCCTTGTGATTGATAACAGCCAGGCCGCCGTCGTCCTCGTCCTCGTCGCCGTCCGCCTTCTCGTTGACGCGCTCCTCGTCGTTTCGCTCACGGGAAGACATTATTCCGGAACAGTCGTTCGAGCAGCGCTGCCGCGCGACGCACAATCGACGCACATTCCCGCCGCGCGTCTGATCGCGCCAAGCTTTCCCGTGCGTCTCGCATCTGCAATTTGAACGACGCGAGGAGAGTAAATTACAAACAGAGATTGCCGCGTCTCCATCTTCTCGCGGTAACGTGTATCTTTCTTTAGCGCGACTTTTTTTTTTTTTTTTTCTAGAAAATAGCATCGTTCCATCAAAAATACAAAATGACGTACGCGCGACGTATGTTTACGTTATCGTGTGAGACTCGAAACTCGAAATTGCTTGTTAACCGTTTCGGGTCGCTGCGCTGCTGGCAACAGCAATGCCAATGAAAACAATTGCAGTGACAGTCCCGATGGTGATGGCATCTGCCGCAGCAAGACGATCTCGACAGATCCGGAGCGAACTCTTCGCGCGGACGATGACTCTCCCACCGCCAGAACGAATCTGCGACTTCCCGACGACGGGACGTCGAACTGTACAAGTTCCACGTGTTCGTCTCGATGCACGGGCCGTGACCCCGAGCGTCGCCGGTGACGACGCTCTCCGCCGCGTTGCTGCCGCCAAGATCGATGGACGTTTCGTGACAACTCGCCGAAGACTTCTCGCCCCCTCGTCTGTCCCCGGACGAGTCGCCGCGTGCGACCTTGTCGTTTCTCTCGCGGGACGTGGAGTCGTACAGGAGATTTACGGGATCCAAGTTCGAGCACGCTCTTGACAGGCAGCGCGCTTTACGATGATGGTGGAACGTAGAACGCGCGGATTGTGGAATCCACTCCGTCGTTTTAGTAGCCTCGTCATCTGTCGTTCTTGACGTCGCGTCGCACCTGCGCTCCCGAACAGGGGCAACTTTATGGAGAAAAGTTTTAATCGCGGTTTCATTCTTTTCTTTTCGCTAGATACACTCGATCTATTTTTTTTTTTTTTTTTTTGTAATATTTGTTTGTAAACTGTACTCTTTCAAAAAATATATATATTATATTATATTATAATTTATATACAGCGTATATATATATATACGCTGTGTATATAAATTTTATCCAAGCGAGGGACACACGTAATGAAAAGTTACAAAGCACTGGTGATTTTTCTTTGAATGAAAAGGAAGCGGGAGGAGGAGATAATGACAGTGTTAAGAAAAAAGCCATAAATGAATAAACACATCGCGAAATATAAAGATCGCACCTGTTCCGCTCGGCCAATTTTACAAATTCATTTTTACGATCGTTATCCGAGACTGCGAATTCCCGGCTCGGCACGGTATCGATTGCATCTCCGCCGCTGCACTCGTCCCGTAGCTCCGAAATGTTCTCGCCGCCGTTCTTCGACCGACTGCAACCGCTGCAGCTGATCGAGTTCTCTTTGCAGTACGAGTAATCGTAATCGTGATTCCGCACGCTCGTCGGACAGACATGATCGGATCTCGAGTTGCACGCACGCCTCGCCAGCGAGGAGCTCGATTTCACTTGATTGATAGACCCTTCGCGGCTCGATGCGGTTTCCGTCTTCTACGAAGACGCGCTCGTTTATAGAAGCGATTTATAATAAATTGCTTTCGATGGGAATCGACACGAACGTCATAATGCGAAACAGAAAGAGAACGTAGCCAGAGTGTATAACATATAATACTCCAAATAGAGAAGTAATTAGAAGCATCTCTCTTCGGTTACCCTTGTGCTTCCGGATGCACGTTCTACCGTAGTTTCGAGGCCGAAGTCCTTCGGAAATTTACGTCGGGCACGTCGAAAAGCTATCGCCGCTGCGACAAGCTGATGAGACGACGACGGACAAAGCGACATTGCTGAAAAGCGATTATGGTCGCTGCGCGCATCCCTGTGATGTGGTAGCCCGGTTCAGGAGGTGACTCCTGATTACGATGGATTCCGGAAATTCGGATAGTCGAGACGCGGCTCTTGTCGTCTTGTTGTTCGAACGAAGCACGGAATATTCACCGCGAGAAGAGAAAGGTTACCGATCGATATCGCAATCGACGCGTGTAATTTGTCAATTCACACGCACGGATATTATTCCGTTCGCGTTATGTTCATCTCTCTTACACGACGACATTTAACGATAATTATTAAACTCGTACAATGTTTCGATTTGAAGCGCGTGGTTGAATTAACATCGTTCCTTCGTGAATAAATCAAGCTTCTCGAAACATACGGCAGAGAATTCGCTTTTTATCTTCTGAGAAAAAAGTTTTTGCCGCCGCGACCGTTTTCCAACGCGTTTCGCTTCCCGGCACAAATTAAACTTCTTTCGAAGTATCTGTGGTGTATCGACAACGCACTCGCAAAAATTCTACGAGGGCTGCGAGTTTTCTGACGTGTAATGGGTAGCAGACCGTCAGATTCGGATAACGAGCGAGTACCGCAGGCCGCCGGCGGCTTTATCGAATTTGTATCGAGCGAAATTTCGCCCTTGTCCCTCCCTCCTCCCGGAACACGAACGCCTTGGTCGGGATTTTGATCGGCGCTTGCTGTTGCTGCTGCTGCATCTACCCTCCCTCCCGCCAACCCGGCGGCGTTTAACGGGGCTAATTGCGACGATTGCTCGCTGGAAATGGAAACGGTGCGGTTTTACCGCTGTTTGCCAGTTCGCGTCGACGCGGAAAATGGCCAGTCCGTTTTGCGCGCGCGATGAATAGCGCACAGAGAGAGCTCGTCGATATAAACCTCTATACTTAATTGGCAATAACGATTTATTATTGTGTGGCTTTTGCATAAAAAATTGCATACACCGGTATATATGTGTGTTGCGTATCTACCTACATGTATAAATAAATGAAGAATACACATAATAATGGAATATGCTTGATATACATATATATTAGATATACATATATATATAATATATATATGCGTGATATACATAATAATATATATTATATATATTGTAATATACATACAGCATTTACGTGTATATTTAATATATATATAAACATATTACACGTATATAAATAAGAAATTCGATACATTTGAACGAGTACTTGTGTCGTATGTGTAAATACAAAACAAGTGATGTGCAATTTTATCATTTGCGGATCATAATTGAAATAAACTCGCTTGTACATCTTCTCAGACATGATTAATGATAAAATTGTTCGATCAAAGTAATAATGTCATACTTTCCGCTAGATCTATGTACTATACACACTTGTCACGCTTCTCGCATCGAGATACGAAACGCGCAATTAATAAGTAACTATCTCGCCAACATGGCGTTATTATCATTCTGCGTATTTTTCTTCTTCACAGAGGCATATGATATACGAATCGTACAATATAAATAATCGTTAACATTTACATTTTTTTTTTTTTAATATTGTTCAATATGTATAACATTTCTCTTTGAAGGAGATCATTAAATTAGCTACAGTAATGCTCATATTGTACATTTCATATTATCAGATTATAATTAATAATTATCGCAAGAAACAATAATTGTTCAAACAACATGATGCTCTTAATGATAAACAGATCTGTAGTTTCGCTGTCACATCACGATAAGTCGCCCGTTAAAACAAATAATGTCGCATTTGGTACGTAACATCCATTGGTCACTGCCACAATACTGAAGTAAAAAAACGCCGCTCTGCGATGCGTGTGTTTATTTCAATTCATCCATGGCGGACAGGACGTCGGCGGCTGATATGTCTGAGATATTGGCACCTGGTAATGCTGCATCGCTTGAGATGGATGCTGCGGCCGGAGCTGTTGGTGATGCGGCGGAGGTGGCGGTGGTGGATTGCAGATAGATTGCATTAATGGATGCGCGTTGTAAGGTGGCGGTTTTGTCGTGTACGGCGGCATTTGATTGTATTCGGTGTTTAACGATTGTTCTAACACGGCGTTCTGAGTGGGAGAACGGTTACCGTCAGCGGGACCTAAAGACAGCACCACCACGTCCTTGAAGGTTTTTAAAAAGTCATATATCGTGCGCAAAAGAGAATTTTGTATGTAGTATATACATAGTGCAGTTTTTTTATGTTTTCAAGTATATATTTTTCACAGAAAAAAAATTAGTGGGTATATTAAATTTTTTAATCACACTCCAAAGTAGTTATAAGCGCCTACCTCTTGGCCTGATCTGAGGTGGAGGCATATTAATAGGCGGTAATCCCGGACAGGCTGCGGGATCTCCTTCCCTTGGAATTGGCGGTGGTCTACCCCAAGGAGCTCTAACATGATGATTTTGCCACGGTGCTTGCGGTGAAGGCGGAGGCGGAAGAGGTGGACCATTTCCGACATGGATATTTCCAGGTTCCGCCATTACATTCTGTTCATTTCCTATTTGCAAAATATATCAGATACTTAGAAACGGGCAACATTATTTTCTACGAAGTAGTAGTATCGCACCTCATCAACATGGCATACCTGAAGATAGTCCTGCCGGCTTTTGATCCAAGCCTCGTTTCTCACCTAAACGATTAAGACGTGCGTTATAAAGAGGAAAAATACAATACGTCCTTACTAATTATATCCAAAGTAAAATTATGCTTAAAAGTAGCAAATATTACGTGATGAAAAATATTATGAAAATATAGAAAAATAAACTTAAAACTCTTTAGCGAAACGTAATTAATGTTGATGATATTCCAATGTCTATTAAATGATATTGTTAATTACAAACGCAAAACATAAAAGCGACTGTTTTCTGAATTTGGATGCAAATCTAATTTATGTATGTAAAACAAGTTTCCCAGATCGTATCCACGTATTATAAGTAGATTGCTGCCGGATTTCACCTCCTGCTTGAGAGAGGACACTGTAGCAATGAAAAGAAACAGTCTTTTATAGAGTCTGTGGTCTCTTACATGACTAAATCGAAATGACACTTCACGCCTTTAACCATTGTCATATTGGCAAAGAGATTCGCTTATTACCGTCTGAAAGCAAGCAACGCAATTTTTTTCATTTCTATGGAGAGGGTACACGATTAGATATATACTTAGAAGAACTTCCATTAAAAATCTGAAGCCGTACAGATATTTGGCATCTGTAAAATAAGTTTATATTTGTTAAAAAAATGTGCTATTTATTTCACCTTTCTTCAGTATCTTCCATCTGTTCAAACTACTGCAACAATATATGACGACATCACTTTGATACTTGATGATGCTGTCAGAAAGACGATACACAATGATCGTATGTGGTATCGGTTCCCTTGGAAATATGTCACTCGTATTATACTATAACAAATTTTTATATCTACATATAAATAATAAACATATATTTTTTTCTCCTAAACGGAAGTCATCTGTATCCCTTTCCTGAGTACACAAACGGAGAGACGTCTATTTATCCTAAAGAAATATAAAATAGTATAAGACCAACATAAAACAGTAATAATATATTAAAAATATACGTATAACAGAATCCTAAATAACAGTAAGCGCAGGTAGCACTGGATAAACAAACATTGAACTGGGAAATCACAGATTATATATGTATTTGCATATCTGGAATTGCAGATTTATATTTAATAAAAAGACACTATAAAAAGAGAGACAAAAAGAGAGAGAGAGAGAAGCATTAAAATGAACATACTTTAGACGCCTTCGCAATTGTTTGCAACACGTGCAGTGCTTTATTTATTTATTTTTTTTTTTTTTTTGACTGATCTAAAAAAAATAATATATAATAATAAATAAATTTAACTCTTTTTTTCTATGTATCAAAAAGCATTCACTATATGCGGTGTGAAGTTGCAATAAATCTATATTATTTCCGGATGTTCGTCTCTGCAGATATCTTCAATAAATGCATACAAAAGCAAATTGCTAGGATGTAAATTAAAAAATCGAGAAAAATTTTGTTTTATATTACACTCTCGTGTTTACCACAAAGTATTATTTACATTAATAAAATAAGTATACTACAGTCTAAGAGTATTAAGAAAACAATGCTAGATACCTATCTGAAATTTTATTGTCTACGATATTAAGGTTTTGCATGTAATTTCCAAATTATATATTTTTATGTATATGTGTGATAAACAAATATAACTGCCAGCAACAAAGTTATATTCCAAAGGGAATCTAGTATCTGAATTAAGCGAGATTGAAACCTCGGTGTTGAAGAATACAACCTTTCTGCTGGCATATTTTTTGTTTGTAAACTTTTCAATATTTCCAAAAGATATCCAGCATTATTTTCGGATTAAATACTCTTAGTTACAGACCTGGATATGGAGGTGGCATTAGCATCTTGTTTCGATCTCCATGTGGCAGACCGGCAGATGTGGGTGGACCGTGTAAGACTTGCTGTTGACGATCACCTTCTCTGCTTAAACAATGCACAGGTGCAAAAAATATTAATCCCAAATTGTACAATTGTAAAAAATTTGTACGTTTCAAGCATTAAGACAAAAACCTGATGCACACCCTTGGATACTTCTGAAAATATGAAAAAAAATACCTGGTTTTACCAGATCACAGTTAATGTCGAGACTTAACGTTTACAAAACGTTTCTTAGAAACGCAATTGTAATGAGACAGAGAACATTACAACGTGCGTTCAAATTATCTGTGCAATTATTTATTGCTGCTGTTCCGCAAAGTAGCAACTATATTGTTGCATTCCATCTCTCTTTTGGTTTATCGCTTATACTAAGAGAACACATAATTAAATTGGTGATTCTGGCAAAAGCTGTATTTATATAAATGATTCTACTTTCGTAGAATCATACATTACAAGACATAAGGAAAATGCAAGTCGGTTATTATCCTTGCGCGGTTATTGCATTCGCAAAGATAATATAAAAATTTGTTTACACTTAAAAAAAAACCTATCTATACAATCATACAATTCGGAGATATGTTTTGTGAAAGAGCGAGATATATCCATGATTATAAAATTATTAAAATGCTTAAAACGAACACTATAAACGGACACTAAAAGAGACACCAAAATTGTGCATCAAATCAAATTGTTTTTTTTTTTTTTTTTTTTTTGTTTTAAATTAAATAAAATTTTACCGAGTATATATATGGATATATCTGGATCTTACGACCAATGATTCTTGCCAATAGTTTGTATTGGCTTCTATAAGATTTCAGAAATACTTATACCTGTGAATAAAAAATATACCTATTACAAAGAGATCTCATAAAATACTTGAATTTTTCTTTTCTGTACTTTCTTACTAACATTACAAAGCCTCATATTAGCAAAAGCAGGTTTCTGGAAGAAAACGGTGCAATAGTAGCTTACATTTTCTTCATGTTCCTACTACAATAATTCGTAGACTTGCGTTTGCTACAAGTGAAGCATAAGCAATTTCAAGCAATTGTTTCTTCGTCAATAAGTTTTTCTTCGTACCGATAAAGTTTTAAATCTCGATCAAATTTTAGCGTAGTTATTACAATATGTCCTATAATTCTGAAAATTTGTCTTTTAGTAGTACTTATTTATACAGACTGCTAGAGATCTTGGTAAACCTGCTTTATTCAAGCGCATGAGATCTTCCTGTTTGGTTTACCAAGGTGTGTAGCTACGTAAAATTATTGAAGTTACATTACCGGTATACTCCTTTGTATTACGCACAAGTAATATCTAACCGTTTGTGCGTTTATGTAAAAGGAGTGTATAATGTAACTTGATTAAAAAAAATTTAATCTTAATTTTAGATATATCTACATTATAGCGCTTTCCTATAAATAACAATAAATTTTATTCTCTGAGGGGCACTTACCCTGTGCCGTGACGCTGCGCAGGTAATGGAGCGCATTGATACGGTGGTGGCGGTGGCGGTAGCGGTGGTTCCTGTACATATTCATTCAAATAATATACATGTGAAACGATCGCACATGTGAACACTATATATATATATGTCACACATTTAAGATGATACGTTACCTGACCTCCGTCTACATCCGAAAACCTTCTTTTTACTCCATGTGATTTTTGTTGCTCCGGTGAATCGGGCTTTTGCTCAAATTGCTGATGCGGCGGTTGCATCGTGTAATGCACTTGCGTAGGTATATGACCGTTTTGATATTGTATGTGCTGGGGATGATATTGTATTTGTGCTTGAATTTGTGGCGGAGGTACGTTATGAAGAGGTATATTTTGAGGCGGCATTTGCATCTGTAAATAATTAAGAAAGTATTGTGTTATCATTTTTGTGTTGTATTCTACGAAGAATAAATTATAGCAATAAATGTCTAGTATCGTTATACCTGCAGTTGTCCTTGTGACTGCGGCATCTGCTGCGGCTGCTGAGCCTGATAAAGCCACGGAGCATTTTGTGGCGGTGGCGGTTGCGTTGGCGGCGGCACGCTCGTGAAATTCATGGAATTTGGCATCTGACCGATTGACGGTGGCGGAACTATTTGTGGAGGTGGCACCGGTTGTGGTAACGGGCCTTGCTCTACAGGGCCTTCTTGCTGATGTTGCATTTCCCCGCTCGGAGGAAGTGGTGGTTGATGATGTTGCGGCGATTGAGCATTCGGAACTAGGAAGGTTTGCGCGGATGGTGGTGGAGGTACTTGTAGATGGAATGGTGGCGCGTGACCTTCGAATTGTGGCGGCATTATGTGCTGAGCAACGGCCTGGGACTGTTCGTGATTTTGTTGCAACTGAGGCGGAACAATATGCTCGCCAGACTGCAAAACAAATTGCGTTTGCGACTGCGACACAGGTGCCTGCACTTGTTGATATTGTATCTGATAAGTTTGCGGCACAGGTGGGGGCGGTTGATTTGGCGGGAAGTTCGGCGGCGGAAAGTGAAGATGTACCAACGGCGGTGGTGGTTGCTGCGTTATATTGAGCGGCGCCGTGGGCGGAGGTTGTTGCAAATTAACATTAACAGTTTCGATAATTCCTTGGGATGGCGTGGCGGGTCGTTGCACATTCGGTTGCGTATAAACGTACGACACCGCCCCGCTTACCGGCACGTTCGTACTCGTTATGAAGCTCTGTTGCGCGGGACTCTGTGGCGGCGGTTGGCTCATGACGTACATTTGAGCCACAGGCTGTGGCGAGGATTGCGATCCCGGAATTCCCTGGATTTGCAACGGCTGGCCGGGATGTATCTGATATTGAACTTGACTTACCGTCGACGGAGGACCAATTAATTGTACTTGTCCAACTGACGGTGGTGGCATGAAAGTTTGTATTTCCTTCAAAAGAATATTTATTTATATACGTCGTCCATCTTTTTTAGATAATTTTACGTAACAGTTAAGTGCAATTCGAATTTACATACCTGAGCTTGAGGAGGTGGAACTAACGGTCCAGTGTGAGGTGGTATGTGTACTCCTGGAGGAGGAACTGTTACACCGGGTGCTGGTGTACCAGCCACCGTAGCTGTGAGAATAGTCGCGGGTAATGTCACAACATTACTTTGAGGATGTTGCATGATATCTGTTAAAAAATCTTATTTGAATGAAATATATATTATATGTTAGTAGTTAAAATAATAAATTTATTTTATTTACTATCTACCTTGAGGCTGTATTGTGACCACATTTGGCTGAGCTAAGGTACCAATGTTCATAGTTTGAAATTGAGCTGTAAATATAAAGAGAGAGGTAATGTATATACAATTTATAATTGCTTTACTTATGGAAAAAAGGTTTAAAAGGTGACAATTATTATATACTTTGTGGTAACTGTGATTGTTCTATAACTTGCTGAGGTTGTACAGGCGGTGGTTGTTGCTGAATATAAGTTTGTAATTCAGACTGTATTGTCTGTATTAAATTGATAGCCAGTTGTTTTGCGCTTTGCAACGCTTCCGGCTTTGGATGCCTAAATAAGATTACAAATTATATATTCTCTTTTGTTTGTATCACACTAATTGTAAATAATATAAAATATTCTTACTCTATATACAAGTGAAGTGGCTCTGGAGATTCTGCTCCTAAAATTGGGTCAATAAATTGAGACCCTCTACCTTTTAGAATTACATTTGCCCCCGTTTCGCTTCTAATGTACACTAAATTTGCTTCACCAGCACCTAATATTCGTCCACGTAAATCAAATCCCTGTGGCGCATTGTCAATACCGACACAAATCTTTTCCTATTAATTTATAAATACATCAGTCAATATCAACGATAAGCACATATAAACAAAATAAATATTAAAAAAGCATTATTTACCACTGTTGTAATACCGGAATGTAGACTCATAAGAGGCGGCGGGGCGTTTGTAAACCTGCTTGGTCTATTTAGGGAACTCTGATGTTCTGTTTTGATAATTTCCTTGATCCTCTGTATCGCCACTAGTGTGCAAATAGAATGTCTATTAGAAGTATATTTATCAAATAATGTCGAGAAAAACAGATAAATAACTACATACAATCAACATTATGTTTCGTGTGTCCCTGTATATAAAGATACAATGGCCTCTCATTTGGACAGCGTAATTTTTCTTGTTCTGTCATAAAACGTCCACGTGTTGATACAGTTGCTCCTATATAAATTGAAAATACAAAATATTATATACATAAACAAGTTGTTATATATATTATATCTATAAACAACTTACAAAATATAATACAACAAAAAGATGTACCTGAAAACGAGTTAATTTCATCTTGTATGTAGCCTTTGGTAAGTAATGTTCTAGCACTAGGTGGTGTTTCATTAATCTCAAATTCCCACGTATATGTTTCTCCATTTTTAAATGTTGTATTTGATGCAGTTATCTAATTGCAAAAGATACATATGCAGTTTAATATGAAAAGAGATAAATATGTACTGAAATCATTCATCAGCAATTGAACAGTATACCTTACTGTTGGAGTCAGAACCTCTTAATTTTCCCTTAGCCATAGAGATAAAATATGTATTACTGGAAACAATGCAGTAATTCTCATGATCCTAACATTGTCAGAAGCTGCAAGATAGAATCGAAAATAATATCAGGAAATGAGCCAGGAGAGCTGTAGCGACGATTACAGATGAAAAGAATCGCATTTGGTAACAACATACGTTACAAAGTTTCATCAAACGTCAAAGCTAATAAATCGTTAAAACGATAGGTTATGTTTCAATGAGAAGAACCAATTACAATCTTTTGTATACACAATATGTTTCTACTCACTTTTCAAGTGGTTATGTTACACCGCATGGACGGTCAACCATGTACTTTCTCACACATAAAGGTGGATTGAATATTATATTTACGAAACAACACAAAAAAGTCACTCCACTTCCTCAAACCGTTCTTGACATGACTTTGTGCCAACTAATCATGGATCACGGATGTTAAATTGTTCGACATTGCGACCAACTGCAAGTGTGCAACTCCTCTGTGCATAACAACGACATCTACCAAGGCAGATTCGTCGAGAAAGCAAATTCAAGCGGAGATAAATGCATTTTAATGCATTTTTAGTAAAACAAGAAAAAAGAAACACTGTAAATGCATTAAAAGATGGAAATAATATAAGGAGTTGTAAAGAATTTATTGTGAAATAAATTTTTATTTATTTATTTAACATTTTTTCTTAGATTTATAATTAATACATCACAAACAAAACTTTATGTATATTTGTTACTGTTTTAGGAAACACAGATTGACACATTCTTTTTTTATTTATATATATGTGTATATATATATATATATATATATGTATATTTCAAGTTCACTATATAGTTTATAAATGCTAGGATAACAGGGTGTTATCTCTCATTAGCTTTCTAGCACCACGTGTATATTGTTAACAAAACTTTAGATTCAAGTGTATTCTCTTGAATGACTAAGAAAGTGTATGTTAGAATCACAATTATCAGAGTGTGTCTAGTAGATAAAGATACAATATATCAGAGAGCGATCAAAATGATGATTTTTTTACTTTCGTTCGACTACTTTTCCCGTACTTGAATGTACCCTAATAGGCAAATTGTGAAAATATTGCACAAAAACGGCATCATGAGTGACAACGATTTTGCAATGATTGCACTAAGATGATTCGCCATATCGTTATTCTTTGACGAAATAGTATTTGGAAAGTAATTTTGCAAACAAACACAAATATTTTATAAAAGATCAATGTTTTTACATCTATTTTCTAAAATATATCTGTACGTAATTGCAAATTACAATTTTAGTGCAAGATTTCGTCACATATAATTTTGTAAATATTTTCCTATCAGGGTAGCAATGGGAGCTTCGATTTCTACATATCTCCGTGACACATTGCGTGTGACCACTAAAATGCTACTTTTTACTAAACAATACTTCGAAAAATGCTTTAGGCTTTTATTGCATTAATTATATATACTTTTGCACTCTTTGAAGAAGTGTTTTAAACGTTCTTGCCAGAAGTTTTTAAATAACATCGGCAAACATGTTTCGAGCAAAACGTTTAGGCAAAGTTGAAACGTGCACATGTCACAAATATTTGTTAATTACGACGCGTGTTAGTGATCTCACCTGTGTACTTAGTCACGATCTTTTAACGTTTACAATTTTGTTCACAAAGATTCGAATTAAAATGATAAAAAAATAGATTGTACATCTCCAGTTTTAACCATCGATCTTTTTCGAGCAACTCGTGTAATTAATATAATTAACATCACAAGCAACATTAAAATTATTTAAACATTTAAAATTTTAAAAGTCAAATACTCTTTGCAAATACTTGCCATAGATCAAAATGCTGTATATTATACAGCATTGTCGATATATATATATCGATATATATCATCGTAAGATTAATATTTTTTTTGCATTATTGTGTTGCATTATGGATTTCTTAATTTACACTATTCGATAAAATTAAGAGAATCTTTACGTATAAATATATTGAATTAATCCTTTTGTGTGTACAAAGTGGCACACATATACATAAAATAACTTAAATAAAAAAAAACTTTTAAACAATCATATACGAGATAAATAATCGAGAGAAATCTCGGTATACTTTGTTTTGTACAAACTTAACAAGATTTAATTTAATTTGTGACATAGCCAACCAATCAAAAATAAGAGGAATGTCATTATTATACGTACGAAAAAATATTACACATAAAAGATAAACTCGGGAATTTGACCCTTTTCGACCGTTGTACCATTACAATCTCCCGACTCGTTGCTAAATTCGAATTTCACCTTCGTATTATCCAAATCAGTATCCACCATCACAGTTTTCATTCCTTTTGTGCCGTAATGCGAGATTGGACCCTGAAATAAAAAATTATAAATTTTCTACATAAAGCATATACGCGCATATAAATAATAAATTAGCAAGAGATGAGTTCAACAACCTTAAAGAATACCGATGCCGTATACGTCGTGTTTGGCAAGACCTCCGCTAATTCTTTAAACATTAGACGGTACGTGTACTTTGATCCGTCGCAAGTGAAACTTGTTGTGTTCGTGGCTACCACTTTTCCCGAAGAAGTGTGAATTAATTCCATCGTTACTTCATATATCGACGGTTGCATACCACCGTAAACGCCGTAGCCAAGTAAAAAAATACATCTGTCCACTCTAAATCTGTAAATAATCAACACCGCTACACACAATATCCGAGCGTTGTACAATTTTGATGTTAAAATTCTGTCGATTTTAATCATAATTACCGGATACGATCGCTAGTTCCAAAATATCCCCATCTGCTTTTGGTGTGCTGAAACCTGCAAACAGTTTGTTCCTTGCCTGTCATGCAGCAACGCGGCACCGTTTGAAAGTCCACTGACGGTTTGGGATTTAATATGAAATATGAGAACAAAGATAAGACCTAAAAAAATAATTGAATGTTATACATGAGATAACAGACCTGTAAAATTATATATGTGATATGTATATAAAAACTATTATGAGATATTAGCCTCTTCGTAATTTAATAGGCCAGATTGTGCCGGTCCTGATGTGAATTCTTCTTTTGTCATGAGCGGAAAACGAACCAAGGACAAAGCGTTGCCGAGAACCATACGTTGGTTCTTTGGAATGACCGTTAATTGCCGCCTTGTGCATTCAGCCTCTGACCACCTGTACAGAAATTCAAACAATAATAACTGAAGAATATATCGTGCAATGATAGTCGCCATACCTTACTACAGCCTGAAATAGTTTAGATTCTCTAACATGAAGAGTGTCTCTTTCTAAGACTATCATCAGTGTGTCGATATCGATATCTGTGAATCCATCAGCACTAAGGGCTTCAGTTGTGATTCTGTCTATGGTGTCCAAGCATAATGCAGCTAATTGTGGTTCATCGAATAGACGAGCTTGTGTCAAGAGTAAGAAAGCGTTATCGCTTGTCAGATTGTTCTTCAAATAATCAACGCAGTGCTTTTCTAAAGCAGACACCGCGTATTTCTTGGCTGTATACAAGGTTGTCATTACAGTCTCGGGATCAATTTGTATCTCGTCAGTGTATAGAAAAAGAAGCACTGCCAAAAATGCAGCAGGCTCAACATCAGGTACTTCTATTTCTGAAGAAGCTGTCGCAAGTGTGCCATTGAACATTGCGTCAAACACAGCGCTTCCAGAAGACAAGACTAGTTTGTGAGCTGGTATACGTTGCTGTTGCGTTCCTCTTCCCACCAGAAACGTCACGTCTGACAATATTTCATTATTGAAGAGAAAAGCAATCCTTTCGCGCAGTGTCGCCTTTGTACTCTGCCAGTTGTATGTCGGTTGATTATTTATAGGAGAATTCTCCAATACAGCATTGTTCTGAGATTGTCCTTCCAAATATGACGTGTTGGCGGCATTGGTCGGTGGCCGGCTGGAAAAGGTCACACATTCTCATCATCAAACATTGCAGTAAAATCTCGAGAGTAAACAGCTAAAACATTTCAGATAAACAACACTAAATCAACATACAATTCCATATTTTTCTCCTGTTCTATATCTATAAAATACGCACTTTGACGTTTGACGTTCTGTTCTACTTTCAGATCTTTGGTGAGAGTTCAATACTTACTTATCGCCGTTCGAAGCCAGGGACTCGCTTCGCGACACCGACGAGCTAGTGGACACGTCCTCGTCACTGGCAAAGTTGAGACCGCGTCGTGCCCGGGAGAGGGTGATGTTCTGCAGCGGTTCGCGCGATGACGACGACGACGACGGTCCGCCGCCGACGGCTCCGTTCATCAAGAACATCGCGTTTTCCGCCTGATCGGTCTCATCTTCCGGCACCTCGACCACTTCAACTTGCAAGCCCTGCAGCCTCATCGCGACGTTCGGCACGTCGTTTATGACGGTCTCCTTAGACATGTCTGCACACGAGTTGTAATGCTTGTCTGCGTATTACTCTGTATCATTTAATGCCGTCGCTTCACGCCAAGCGAGGCAAGCGACGGCTGGCGCTTGTCAAGCGCGTTGTTCCCTTCCACAGTTTCCACTCCTCGCGATCGCGATCCCCTTCACAAGGACAAGTCCGTGCTGCTCTCACTCAACGCGAAGACTAGTGATGACGCACTAAGCAACTGACAGCGACATCGTATTTCGCCGTGCTCTCCGCGGGGAGTTTTTTGTCGCAAGACCGCGTGAAATGAAAGCTGATTTGAAAGAAATAACGAAACGAGAGTCACATCGAGTACGTACACTTATAAAAAAAACATATATATATTTCAATTAAATTATTGCGTATGTAATGATTTACTCTTTCGTTTTTAAAATGGTTTTGAATCGCACTAGTCCCTCCTGTCTGTCCGTTTCCGTTGCACTTTGTGCACTTACTTCGCTGTTCTTATGCCAAAGGAGGGTTTTTTCTCTAAATATACAATTAATTTCATATTTTAAGCGCAATGCAACTAAACTTGATAAATAAATTGTGTTCGTGTCTAACAAGTAAAGATACACATATATATATACATATACAAAACGTACATAGCCGGGTACTGCGATTCAATATTGCGATTCTCGAAGTGGTGCGCCCCTCAATAGATTTCGAATTGCCTGAGCCAGTAATGGCCGCCGCGCGGATCGCGAAATCGCATCTCGTCACCGCTTCGTGTTTCTTGTGTTATATCGCGTAAGAACGTAAATTGTCGCGAAATATTGTCAGAAGTTTTTCGTTAAGTGTTCGTCGCGAACGTCATACGCACATATAATTGTCATTCCGCGCGGTTATCGCGATTTCGATTAAATTTGAAAAATTGGCTGCGAAGTGAATGGATTTGCGAGAAAAGACTTCGTTTTTAAAGACACGTGACTAAAGTAAAGTCACGTGACTTTAGTCATGTGTTGTTTTTTCTCTCTTCCATGTCACGTGACTGTAATTTAGTCATGTTTTTTAAAGACACGTGATTTCAAGTCAGAGAGAAGACTGAGAGCGGCCAGGCCTATAAGAGAGAACGTGTAATCGCTTTTCCGCCCTGTAAGCCAGCGCAATGTCCATGGGTGGTGCACACTGGCAACTACGTAGCCGTGTCCACGAACGACTTGTCGGTACGTACGTTATGTTCAAACGTGGACATGGTTTTATTCCGTGCTATGTCCACAACCGTGCGAGAGTTTTTTATACATGTGCACAAGTCCAAGTGTCGAGTTGAGAAAAAACTAAAAGAGCCGGCCAGTACCGAGGTGACGAAGGTACGCACACGAGCAAGAACCGCTATTCGTGTGCGCTCGAGGACAGAATTAGAAACGCAATAGGCGTTTTCAAGTTCACCGCCAGTACCGAAAATTTATAATATGCATAACACGAACTATAGATTTTCGACATTAACATTAGTGAATCTTAAAACGCATCCATAAATTGTTCGAGGTACACATTTGGCCGTTCTGATGCTTTTTTCTTTTTCTCATATTCTGGCACTTTTTCTGTGCACTAAATTAAAATATAAATAAAGTAGTTGACAATAGGACAAAAAGTAGGAAAAAATGACGTTGACGCCCAATCAGGTTTTGTAACAAGTATATTAATGATGTATTTATGTACAATGTTTACACATGACGGCTTACACTAGGCAAGAGCATATTCACGTATGTTCACAATGGGTTATTACGGATATAATACAACAAATAGTATCGATTGTCGAAGTCACACTTAACACTATTAATACGGCACTTAACGATGAAGGGATACAATATCCAAAATTGTATAGGCGCGAAAACTCGTGTGTGTTAATGTTAGAAAAAAAAAATTACATAAACATTGTGACACAAAACATATTGCTTATTTCAGAAATATGTACAGCTGCGCATGTAAAATATCTTTCTTATTTGCTACAACAGTTATTTTATCAATACATGTAAGATAAAAATACAACAAGTACATCCACAAATCTCTACATTGCACGTGACGTTAATGCGCGAAATGATCGACACTTCAGAAATCAGTATAAGAAAACTAAAGGGAGTAAAATAAATATTTGAAAGAAATAATTTTGCAAAGGAAATATTTTTTGTCAAGAGCTGCAATTTATTTTATTCGCGTCGATGTGCAATGAAAAAATCTGCGGAAGCGGAAAACTTAATTTTAACACATTTGTATAAGTAATTCCTCTGCATCTCCCCCTCTCTCTCTCTCTCTCTCTCTCTTTTTCTTACAACATAATCAGATTTCTTAATCATTGTCATGGCTATTGGCATTGCTTTTTTATTCGTTCTAATCAGTTCTCTCCACGTCTATTGTTATTAGATTTATCTTATATTCGTTTAGTTAAATAAATTTTAGAACTAAATATGTACACGCGCGTTTCCTCTCGCTTGATTGGCGTGTAACAATGCGCGCGTTGCAGATCTATACATATAAATGCAGTGTGAATTAAATTCTATATAAAATATATATAATTAATCGAAATATATATATATATATATATTCTCTATTTTCAAGTAAAATTATCGCGAGATAATTTGCACCGAATACATACGGACGCATCAATGTAATACGTAAAGGTACGAAATTAAAAACTGGCCGCCAGAGTAAAATGCATATTAAAGATTTAGCAAGCTATAGCGTTAAATTAAATGAAACTCTTCTCTCTAGTCGAGACACAAATGTCCGTTATCTTAGTATATAGACATCTAACACAATCATTCCAATATTATCCTAAAGATTCGCTCTGTGAACGTCGCGTTATTACACCGAGATTGATTTGTCGGTGTGTGAAAATTAATACATTTGTACGCCAAATTCGAAAATTCGCAATAAGCTTTTATCGAAGCAAATGCAAGACGAATATGTGTCGTAATAATAAATAGGGAAAACTAAAATAAACTAACGGAGAGAGAGATACTCGTGAAAGTAGAGCACCAATAGGGTGTGGGATCTCAGCGAATTGTGGCAATGAACGCGCCATACACAAAACGACGCGCCACGCCTGCGCGGGATAGAATATTCTAATAAATTAATTATGTCATTGTCATCAGAAAATCGATGATACGATTGTTGGTAACGTTTCTCATTGCGTTCTGCGATATCCGATGCGAAAGCAATACTTTCTTGCGATCTCACGTTCGCGTCCTTTTCGGTCGGTTTTCGCAACACAATTAAGCTAGTCGCCACACTTTACGCAATTCGCAATTCGTGTTACGCGATTCGCGAAAAGATACGTCGGAAATTCGTGAAGATTCGCGATTTCGCGTTTTTTTTCCTTTTGTCGAAAAACGGCTAATCGCGCACAACGAATCGACGAATTTTGCCTCGCACGTATCTCGACGAATCGCGACTCGGGAATCGCGCGATAGATTCGGCGCTAGCTTTTGCACGCACAATAACATTAGGGCGCGATGTCAATGTGTGTTCTCACGTCTCGAACTCTTGATCCTTCGCGTGACGTTGTTTGCTCTTCGCTTTCCTCGCCTTCGTCGCCGTGACTTTCTTCTTCCTCGGCTTTGGCGTGATCTCGCAGCTGCAGCCAGTTCGCACCTCGATGTAGTCTAATGCCCATCCGGATCCGCTCACGGTGTTGTTGGGAGGAAACTCGGTTAAACGATGGTGTTCTCTGTGATGGTGCCTCCTGTGCTCCTCCACTTCGACCTTAAATCAGAAATTAAGAAGCCACACCAAACTTTTATTTCTACTCTCTTTCTTCTCATAGTGCACGGTTATTTACTGAAAATTTTAACAGGATGTAAATTAAATTCGTTGATCCCATCGCCTCACTAAAAAAAACAAATAACATTAGTCATCTTGACAATCCACGCGGCCGTACCTTCGATCCGGGAGTCTCGACGATCGCGTACATGTACATGAACTTCTGCACGCATCTTGACTGATTGCTAAACTTCCGATCGATGAACCTGCACGGCTTGTTGAGGACGTCCTCCCTGCAGGACTTCTCGAAGAACCTCTGGACGTTCTGGCCGTGCCGATAGAGCTGGACGTACATGTTCTGTTGATTTCGACCGCCGACCGGTTCTACCATTTCCGTTTTCGTGGGACAACATTCGACCGGGAAGCCGTCGTCGCCACTTTCCTGGCGCAGGAGCGCCTGCATCTCCCGATACGTCATCCTCTTGTTCGCCGTCTCCTCCAGTGTAGGTACTTCTTCCCTGCGGGGAATTATTGCAATGCGAAATTTGCGTTATGATTGTTTTCCCCGACGGACGAGTTGAGTAAAGAATCAAAGAAACAAATTCTCGGAAGAAGAAACGCTTCGTCAAAGAGACCGTGACCGAGAGTTGATTTTCGCGTTGCTCTTGTTCGATCGATTTCTAGTTTTCACTCTTCCAATCGAATGTATTTTCACTCTACTGATATTTTCTTTGCGAGCAGCGCTGCGCAAGCAGCACGATATATGTATATTTATAATGGAACCTTTCTCGGATTAAAAACTCTCAATCGTACGGCGCATAATCGTCGTTTTTGTTTTTAACAAGCGACTCTTAATGAGAAATATATGCAAAAAAAATAATAAAAAGCGTGCCTCGCCGCGCCGCGAGTCCTGTTAAATTTAAATCGCATTCGATTCGCCGGAGAGAAACACACATGCGCCGATATTCCTCTCGACGTGATAACATGCGCTAATATCTAAATTACGCGGTAGAATGTTGTCGCGGTTGAAAAAATTCCACGTGACACGATACTTTACTTCGTTTTGTGTACGTTATTAGCATTTTGAGTATGCAGCTTAATGATAATTAAGATAGCGCACTCCGATCGCATTCGACGAATATTTAAATGCGACGTGTAAACGCGTTCGCGCGCATTTTGATCGATCATTACGCACAAAGTATCGTCAAATGAGGCGTGATTATCAAGAACAAAGTAGTGCAAATAGGCGCTATGTATTTTAACATATGTGTGTCTCCTTTTCTTGTTATTTTACATATTTCTTTAAAATATTTTTAAAAAATATACGTCGTTTGACTTATTACGCAAACAAATTAAGGTTGCGCAAAACCGATCGAGTCTCGTTTGCTTACGTTTTTTTGTTTTTTTTCTTTTTTTTATTCGGTAAATCTGTACTGACCAGCGAGAGATATGTCCTTTGAAAGAGTGTTCCCTGGGTCTTCGAGAGAGGAACTCAGTCAGGTTGTTGGCGGCAGTAAGCCGCGGGCACAGGACTGCGGTCAGCCAAACCACCTGCAACAAGCACATCGCAAACGTGTATATAAACCGTTTGTTCACATCCGCGTTCGGTCATTAAACCCGTTAAAACCATAAATACATATCAATATCAACCAAAAAAAAAAAAAAAAATACGTGTAATTATTGTTTGAGAAATGTGTGCGTTGTATCTGATATTATCATTTAATTTTTTATTTTGAATTCTTCGTAATTTATTTATATCTCGCAACGTAACATTCGTTGAAAACCGCATTCCGAATCTCGGTTGAATTGTTTGTCGATTAAATAACCGTATATTTCCATTTATCGCGATATTAGTGGCGTTTATCGTGCTATTTTGATGCGGCGCAAATGCAAACAACTCCGTCATACTCGTTCGCTGACAGAGACTAATGCGCATGACTCGGTAACTTTTGCGAATTGTCGGATTAGAAAATTCGCGCCTATTAATACATCTCGGCGATGAAGAATTGCACGCGTGAGAAAATACTCAGGCTCAGTGTTTTTTGCGGGAAAGAAAAGGTGGAGTGGGCGAGAAATCGGCAATGTGCGAACGTGCAAAAAAGCACGGCGGCGTTAGTCACGCATCGCCCGAATCCGCGCGCGTACGTGGAGGTGAAAACATTAATTCGACTTAATAATTTTTATGCAAAACAGGCCTCGCGGCGCCGTCTCTCGCCGCTTGTTAAAAAAAAAAAACGCGCATGCCTCACCTTCGCGCGCGGTGCACACTTTCGATTTAATTGCGCGCGCGCCCGCCAAGTGCGTACAACTCGTCACCGGAAATTGCGCGCGGAAACCGACCCGCTTCTCGAGTGAAGTTAAATTCTCTTTACTTCATCGCTTTTGTACAGAAATATTGCCGAGGTTGCGCGTAAGATGATAATATTTACGATTGTGGTCTCGAAAAAAAGAGAACAGATAAATAACCGCAAATAATAAAATGCTGAACAAATGGCTTTTAGAATTAATTTAGGAGAGAGGGAAGAGAAAATTTTGTCGCATGTTAACACAGATCCGATATATAAGCTGATTATCGAATACCGATGACACAATCGGTTTCTTTATTACGTGGAACGTAAATATCAGACCGAACGAAAGCTTTTGCGGCAAAGACTGCGTCTGTATAAGCGGGACACGCGATGTAGCCGACGTTTTAATTAAGCCATCATTCCTGCGGGTAAACGATTTAACTAAGCAGCCATCAGCGGCGGCGCGTCTGCCCGTACTCTCGTATTGGGCGCGAATACCGCGCGTTTGGTTTAAAGCGGATATTCACGCGAGTAGACCACACGCGTCGCCCCCTCTCTCATCCCCGCATTTGCGATTCTTATCGGATTCTTGCGTCATCCGAATGGAGAAGAAATTCTCTTCACTGACACGGCGACTTTATAATCGTGTAGGGAGAGAGCCGCGCAGACACTTCACGCTGAAACGAGACACCGAACGATCGCTGCGAAATTTTTCTGAATCGTTTGCACGTGCAATTAAGAGGTTCCGATATTAACTGTTTATTAAGATCGGGTAAATAAACGGGCATACCGATAGTGATTATCTCACAGGTGTGCGCAGTCGCGAGATCTCACGGCGATGTTCCCGAAGAAACGATGTTGGTCATCGGGATTGCGCCCCGGCGCATCTTGAAAGACGTCAATTAGAGAGAGCCGCGGATTTATTTTCTTTTCTTCCCGTATTCCTTACGGTATGATGAAACATTGGCCGGGACGCGCGCACACGCTTTTGCGAAAGTCTAAATTAACCGGTTCGTTCTCTCTCGTGAGAGTTTCCGACGCGATTCCCTCGCGCGGTATATTCCGGCGCTCCGATCTCCGGCCAATCATCGTTCGTCCTTCGCAATTTTGACTAATGACAGTCTGACAAGTTCGCGACTATATACACCCACCCCGATCATTATCAATCCTCGCCGGAAGAAGATTTACCGCCGCGGCGTGTACGCGCGGCTTAAAAAAGCCGCGGGATCGCACAAACTCGTTCTCCACGAATATATAACGTATATACACCGCGTGTATACACGCGCGCGCACATTAAAGAGAATCGGCGCGCTCTTCGATCGGCCGAACAAAAATACGGACCGATCCGCTATAAGTCACCGCGCGCGACGTTGAAGTTAACCGGAGACGACATTTTTATGGCTTCTTTTGCGTTCCGAGTTTTATCTCTTTCGACTGGATAAATGTAATTTATGTACGTTTTAATTTGTGTGTACACACAGACACACATGTACACACACACGTATACCAAGAGAGAGAGAGAGAGAAAGAGAGAGAGAGAGAAAAAGAGAAACACCGGAAAGTATTTCTTTATCTAAAGACATTCGCTGGCCCCCTTTTGTATCTATCTCAGCAACAATTATAGGGATTCCAACTTCCCGCCTCATTTGTGTATCTCTAATTGCTGGAATATTCAATAAGGGAAGAGACTAATGTTGCGGATGAGTGCAATCAATTATCATCGTATTAATCGTACCCGATAATACCCGATCACGTTCAATCGGGCACTAATCCCAAAAGTTACTTTAGACTCATTCGAAGGTAGCGATAAAGTAACATTTTCTTCCCTCTTATTACGATCGTCTTCGCCGCGCCACGACCGTCAACCGGAGAACGAAATATCGTCCCTCCCACGTGGAAAATAATTTGTGACGCAATTAGAACCCCATAACGCATTGACGATGACGCTACACACACGGAGCCCGCCGACCACAGCGGCACGACTAGTCTCTCTCTTTTCCCCACCTCGTATATCTCGTGTCACCCGGAATACACTTGGGACTCGTTGCGATTATACGTGTGTGTATGTGTATCCACGATAATACCCCCGGTGTACCGATAACGTTCGAGGAATCGAGCGGGCCTCAGTATCGTGAGGACGCGATTTATCGGTCGACGTGTTTATGTCTCCACGCGCACCACATGGACCGTGTGTGGGTGTCTCTCTTTCTTCCTGGGTCGAAGGAGTCCGAAAAGTCGGTGACGATTAATTGCGCGTACACGTGTGCGCGAATTTATATTTTCGACGTATATCGTCTGTCATCGAATTCATCATCTCAATCAAATGTTTGCCGCAATATGTTTTGGATGTTGAAGACTGTCGGAAGAGAAAGATATGCGGTGTCGGAAATGTAATGTATCGCGATAAAATTTGTAGGTGTCGCGTTTCGTTTGTAGATTTACTTATTCTCATATCTCGTTTCTCTTTCGACCATTTAGAAAAGAGATAACTCTCCGACAATTCGTCGATGCACAGTTCGAGCGAGATTACCTAGACTGGTTGCGACGCGAAATGCCGAGTAAACGGTTAATTATGATAACTCGGACGTGTTTTTTTATTCGTCCCGATGGCGTAAGTAATATGCGGGGCGACGTTATTTATCACCGCCGTCGGGAACGCGAGATTTACAGAGTGCACCGGGAACGGGAGAAAAATTTAAAGGTTTGTTGTTATATATTTAAAAGGCACAAAAAATGCGCGTTTCAGAAATATGATTAATATATATCGTAAAAGCGCAGAAGCGGTGTATATCGCGCGAAACGACGAATGCGCTTTTCGTTCCGACGCGGTCTTGCGTCAACAGGAAAATCGCGTCGATGCGTTTGCGCCGCGCGAGACAACGCACGATATAATCCGCGGATCCTTATATCGCGCGGCTGCGCGCGACTGGAGGCGGCGGTTGAACGCGACGCGGCGAACATAATCGCGGCGAGCATTCTCTCTCGCGCCATTGGCCGCGCAGTTTTTCATCGGGTGCGCGGGTGTGTGCCGCGATTGGAGGAAAACGCGTGGCAATAATTTATAGGTCTGCGCGGGCACGAGCAGAGGTACGTGTGCGGTTAACTCTCGGAAAATTGTGCCGCGTCACATTGCGTATGTTTTTGCACGGGCGTCCGTTTCTCCGCCTGTCGCGGCGGCAACAACGACGATGACGACGACGACGACGACGACGACGACGACGACGACGTCTCTAACGTCGTATAAATTAATGAGATATTGTATCGCGTATCGTTAACAAGCCATCGCGATTTGAATATCAATTCCGCGCGCCGCGATCGCGCAAATGACGAAAGACATACTTGCGAAATATATGCAGAAAAGTATCGCGTCCCACTTGATTTTATATCGCGCGCTTGGCTATGCAGAACACACGAGGTAAAAAAAAAAAAAAAAAAAAAAAACGCAAAACGACGTAGTATAAAGAAGTACGTATAGACGCGTATCTTAATTATTTTACATCACTGAACGCTCTTTAAATAAATGTCCTGTCGCGTGTGTTTACTTTATATATTTTAATAAATTACTTTTTTGTTGCACAAACGAAGTGAACTGTTAATCTCGCGTTGCTCGCGCAAAAACGCGTTTATTTTACGATATAGATATAGCTCTAATCTACTTGCGAAAGAATGTACCTTATAACTTTCTGTGAATTTTACTACTCCATTCGCGCGCGCGCGACATCGAGATTAGTACAGTTTCTCCTCGAACTGAACGGTAGTTTAACACGTGCACTTTTAACTTTTACGCGCTCGTAACAACTTAAGGCTCGCGTTTCGACCAAGATTTTACGATGTTCGTTAAACATCGCGAAAATTTGTACTTCGTATAAAAGTTGTCAAGTGCGAATATAAATTGTGAGCATTTTCACGAGAAGATATTCTCACGAGCTTATCTTCGTCCGCGACAAATATAAAAACGTCGAATAGCAAAAACGTTTAATTGCCTTCGTTAATCCGCGACTAATTATTCGCGACGTATAGCGCGCCGTCGTTCCCGTCCCGAGAGGCAAATCGGTGCTAATGACTCCATAGAGGATCTCCACGCGTTGACGACCGTGCGATAATTATCCGCTGCTTCCGGATAATTTAAATGATCGGATAGCGGGGACCCGCGCGCCAAATTAAGCCCGAGCCGCTAAAATAGCATCGCGCGCTGAAACGACGGCCGGTTGGCCTTTGCTGGCAATCATTAACGGCAGTTTACACGATAAACTCGCGACAGGACTCGACGGCGGCCGGCTCGTATTTACTCAGCCGTCAATGCAACCGCTCGTATCATTAGCATAGGCTTTGTGCGTTTATAAGGACCGGAGGCATTCCCGGCTTTATTGCAAAGTGCCAAAGGTGGTTTCAACACCGGCGTTTCGCCATTTATCGAACGTTTTCGTGAGAGTCACTCGATCCACACGTCCACTCGATTTTCGCCGATTCCATCAGCGAAATTCTCCTTCGCGTTACATTTGCATCACGCGCCAAAATATTCGTTCGATACGTCTGCATTTTTTGTTTTAAATTACTTTTGATTGCTTTTTTTTTTTTTTTTTTTTTTTTTACATTTTTAGCTAATCAGTCGTTTATTATCGATTAGTACAAGAGATCACATTTCGTCTCATCTTATCTCTTCATCTCTTTTCGAAATGAAGAAGCAAAGAACAAGGTGATTTCTTATATAGCAGCGGAATTCGAAATCTTCCCTATTTTTAATCCACGTTTTCTCGACGTTCTCGTTCGTTCACGAACGCGCGGAAAAACACACGAGCCGGGCGAGCGCGTTCTCGCGGTCACAAATATCGCGAGCGCGCACATGTCGGCGCGCGCGTCGCCGGGCGCGCGAGTCGAGGGAGCGCGCGATGTGGATTTTTTTCTTTCCCGGTGGAAAAGTAAACAAGCGCGTGGTGGAGCGCATGACAAACGGCAACTATCGAGTGCCTGTTAGAGATAGGTAAGAAGCAATGAAAGGTCCTCCAGCGTGCCGCCGGGCACAATGAATGGCCATGCGGCGAAGTGGCTCGCACGGGAGGGCGACCCGCGGGCTGTTTAGACAGCGAATGCTTCGCCGTGTGTTATGATTGACGTGTATAAATATTTGGTTAGTCGCCTTGCCGTTTCGTACGCGCGGCGGCGAGCGCGCGTAAATCGTGCGCGCGTGAGAGACCGCGAGACTCCGCGAGGACTCTCTCCTCCTACTCTCCTTGACGCGACGAATTAATGACGACCCGCTCGCGTCGTCGTTACGCGCCACGTGAGATTTCACAGATGGCCGCGAGTGCCCAGGCAGACAGATCGGGTAGCGGAATCGCTCAAGAGAGGGAGAGAAGCGTCGTAAATTCTTTTTAATGTACTTCTGGCGCGCGCGCGCGAGTCTCCGCGATTCAAGTGGGAAACCTGAGGGACGCGCGCGACGCGGTTTCCGTAAAATAAGTGCCTACTAGTGGTCCCATCGCCGACACCTGTCGTATCCCCGTTGCGCGAGCAACGTGACATCGCGTCCGGAACGAGTGGAATGTTAATTGGGAAAACGAGGAAGAAGCGCGCGCGACGCTTTTTTATAAGTTTCTTATTTTACAGTTCGGTATAGTAGTTGTGGCGCAGCCGCGTTAACGAACGCCGCCGATTCTAATGCACGTATGTACGTTTTTGTTTTTCTCCTTCCTCTCTTCTTCCCTCGCTCTGATCGCGCGTATATCGAGTCGGACAGTACGAAAAAAGAATCCTGTTAGAGGGACGATGCCCCGGCGGCGAAATACACCCACGACGACTCACTAAATCATTCGCGCGAAAAAACACGAGGCGAGCCACGCGGCTCTCTATAAGACCGACCCACCCTTTCTCTTTCACATTATACATGGCCCCCGACTATACGATTCGTAATATGTTATTTCCAAATTGTTTTAAATTACAGGCTCCAACAACTCCTCTATACAACGGGGCCCCATGCGATAATAGGAGAAGGCGTCCATTCGACGGTATCGTCTCGCAAAACGCTAGGGGGTTCCCCGGAGCATCGAACACGCCGGAGCTTGATGGTGAGTAGCTTATGCAAATATTGCGCAAACAAACATTGTAGTAGTTCTCGTTGTTTTTTTTTTTTTTTTTTTTTTTTTTTTTTATCTCTACATTTTAACCGCCAAAGATTCAGAAACGTGCTCATAAGCGGAAGGCTATAATTTCAGATGTTATTAACGATCGAGGAGAGATCGTTTCGATGGATTTTGTAATTTATATCGAAACCGCTTCGGTGAAGCGTTTATGT